TCTTGTGATTGTATGAAGAAAATAAATCATGTAAAAGTTTAACTCCGACATGGCAGCATAAGATTATCGCAGAACCCGTGGTTTTAATAATTCCATCAGTAGATATTGCACCCACCTGAAGCAAGTATACTTCAAGGTCCATAAGGCCTGTGGCTCTTTACCGAAAAATCGACCTTATGACAATACAGAAAAGTTGTATTTTATAGAATGAGAAGGAGGGTTTATGTGCGGTGTTACAAGGTGAAGGTTGTCAGGCAATTTCCAGTCTCGGTCACATTGAGGTTCGACTCGCTCTGGTGTTGACTCTGCGAATAATTTTCGACTTACGTAGTTATATTATTCCAAAATTATCTCATTCTATTTTACGGCTGATATTTTAATATAATTGGCTTCGGCGTCCGTTTTGTTCTTTTAATTTTCATTTTATTTCGTGTCTTTGTTCAATTTCAACACAGCTGCTAATCGAGGTGGAACAATAATTGGAATAATTAATAAGTTAAATTGCTAATTGAAATACTTTTATTGAACGACCACAAATGCTCAAGTTCAAATTAAAAGGATCGCTGGTATTGTGTCGCACAGTTTTGGACTTGGATTCGATTGTAATTTAAGTAGAAAACTATTTATTTTAGTTTACCTTTGTAATTAATTTCGATTGCATTAAATATATTAATTACTAAGTTTATTAGTTGTAAATATATTGTTAATCACCTTGACGTTGATACCTCTCTTGATAGCTTCGGGAGAAATAAAACTCAAAACATACACTAACACGACAATTTATTAGTAACTAGCTGAGACCCGCGGTGTTACCCGCGTTTGTTGTTATAACCGCGGGCAACGCCGCTGGGCGAAGCTAGTCTAAAAAAAGTAGCCTAAGTTACTCCTTATGTCATCAGCTATTTGCCAGTGAAAGTCTCGTCGAAATCGGTCCAGCCGTTCCAGAGATTACCCGGAACAAACAGACAGACAGACAGACAGTCAAAAATTGTAAAAAATGTTTTTTGGCATATGTACCGTGTAAACATACATATGCATTTAGTAAAAAGCGGTTATTTTAATATTACAAACAGACACTCCAATTTTATTTATTTTTATAGAGTATAGATGTTACTATATTACTGGGTATACACACTTGCGCAATAAAGACATTTGTAACGACATATCATTTATCCAACTCAACTGTTTAGTAGTTACAGGGAACACACAAAGGCAAAACACACATGCAGGTCGAGCTCCATAACCCTTGGATTGTTCCCCTGGCTGCAGTTGAGTAATTGATCAATAACGCTCGTTGTTTTCCTACTACACGATAACAAACCAACAATCGTTTTATTGCCTTTAATACGAGTACTACTTATTTCACACAGAATTTTACTTTATATACCTTGGTTTTATAGCATGTTTCCTATTTTTCATTAAAGGTATTTTAATCTTGAATGCATTATATTTATTATCAAGACAACAACTGAAAACTCACAAAGAAATAATGGTAGTCTTAATACCTTGCATTCTTGGTTAAGTAACTAGTGTAGTCACAGAAATGGCTGTGATGCGTACACTTGGCGAAATGAAAGGCTGTTAACTTATTAATGTGAACAGTATATATATAGTACCTATATATATAGTCGTATATATGACTACTACTGGTGAGTATCTCACAGTGCAAGTGCACCAAGGAACTAAAGCAGTAAAGCAATAATTAATTGTGTATCCCGAGTTAATATTCCTCCAACACTCTGGTCTGAGAGAAAAACTCTATGCAAGTTCATGCTCGCGTATGATGATTTTTTAAAGTTCAACACTTGCCTGACCCGTCTGAGTCGCTCTCTGATTATTATCGGTCACCTATCTAGTCTAGCAAACGGGACCTCATAAGGATGACCCACAAAGGATGCTTGATTCATATGATAAACTTTACATACATTCATACATTTTGTGAACAATTTTGGGATCAGATGTAAAATAATTGAGTATATTTTAAGGAAAGGGAGATAAGAAGGAAAGGCATTGGACAATGTAGTGATGTAGGTCGAGAAGGTCAGCAACATTGCGATATGTGCGAGATTCGCCGAATGGATTCTAAATTTTTGCACGTTTTGTCTCAAGAGACTATTAACGACTCTCTCCAACGATTATAAAACAACAACGGGCCTTTCAAAGCGGCTGCAATTCTGTCTCTTGTTGCGTTGTTGGCCTTTTAGGAAGGAGTACGCTTTTTTCTTGTAGGTTGGAAGGGGTATCGATCCAGAAATATCGGTTGGTTATCAGACCGATTTCTATTTAGTGAAGATGATAGTATCAGTATTGGTAGTGAATAAGAGTTTCTGTATTTAGACTCACACACGGCACATAATGGTCTGTCTATGAATCCGTTAACTGTATAGTTGGCTAGTTGAGCCAGCCTGGCTCCTTCCTTCCAGGAAACCTTGAACAGATACAGAAACATTCTGGGGCGGCCTAAAACCAGTGTAAAGAAAGATTTACAAGTCATACATCCCGAAAAAGTGTTGTCATTTTTTTTTTAATTCACACAATGCCATCTTGTCCCAAACTAAGCTACTATGGTTGCTAGACAACTGATATATATATATATATATTTTTTGTAAATACATACTCATTATACATAGAAACACCCAGACCCACCCAGACATTGATGTTTATACACACAAATGTTTGACTTGAGCGGGAATCGAACCCGCGACCATTGGAATAGCAGTTCGTTACACAAACCACTATGCCATCTGGTCGTCAACTCAGTACTTAGAAACTTATATACCACTACATATAGTACTCAAGTGTAGGACAATATATGCACAAAGACCTGGAAAATACGTTGCGGTGAATAATCCAGTGGAAGTTTTCTCGGAGAGCGCTGAGAGTGAACGACAAGAGGCACGAGTGGTGCTTATCATTCAGTGTACGTTACAACTTGACAAATAAACGGCCACAATAACAGAGTGGTGCTGCTACCAGAATATTTCCAACGAAAATATAATATTTACCATGTCTCTTTAGGCACTAGTTAGTGATCCATATTTCTTATTTGTTAAAGAAAGGACTTGTTTAATAGACGACATGCCAGAGACTAAGCGAAGAAAGGAAAATGACGCGTTGCCTAACATGCAGTTTTGGGGAAACAATGTTTTTGCTTTTTCTTTCAATGAAATAATATTCTGACGGGCCTGTTGGTTATTGACCCTGACGGCCGTGTCAAGGACTATTAAGGACTGTAACATCCGAATACTATCCGACAGAATGGCCGCCCTGAAGGCACTAGAGGGCGACACAAAGACCTCTGATATTGTCTTCGTATGCCATCAAGAAATGAAGCAGCTTGCCACATTAAATGGGATACTCCTCCAATGGATTAAAGGGCACAGGAACTAACAGGGAAACGACGCCGCAGATGAGTAGGCAAGGAGGGGCTCGGCAACCCCAGCTACCAGCCCAACCATACTCCTGCCACTACCGTTTAACCAACTACGATTCTGGGCCATACAACGGACTTGTATAGCACACAACCGGAGTTGGAAAAACTCACCCGGCTGCTGACAGTCCAAACTGGTGCTGACGGAAGTTACACCACGACTCACCTGCAGATTGATCAGTCTTAGCGGACTAGAAATCCGAATGTAACAGGACATCTAGCCCTGAACCGACAATTATTCACCATTAATGCGACGGACAATCCTCTTTGCAGAGGATGTCTGAAAGCAGAAGAAACGGCCGCCCACGTAATCCTGGAATGCGAGAGAGTGGCTACACAACGGTCGAGTATCATTCGGGACATTTATTTTCGTACACCGGTCAATAAATTTTACTGATAAGATAAAAATATATTAGACATAAAAATTATGAAAAAGTTTCGCTTTTGCTTCGATTTCTGTTTCTGCCGCCTCCTTGAAAATTCCGCCCGTGAGCGATGCACGCTCTGTACACCCGTACCTGGCGGCTCTGGCAGTGGCTGCCGTGTGTTAGATGGGTGAAGTTAAAAAAATATCGTCTTTTACTCAGTATGAAGACCCATAGTGAGCAAAAGACGCCAAAATCAGTTACGCACGTCTCACGTGATATTGATTTTGAATGCTTTATTAATTTATTGGTCTACAGCACACATATGCATATAGTGGTTATAGGTTGGTCTCTAATAATTAACGAAATATTAAAACGTTTCATTAAAACTATATTCCGTTCTCAATTCGTTATTCAGCCGATTTAAAAGCTGATACAGGCCCTAAGTATAACTTAAAATGTGCTTCGGACTTGGCACCGACTTCGAAGTACTTCGAACAGACTAGAATGTTATATATTATTATTATGGTAAACTACGTAGCTAAACCGGCAAAAGTTATTCTGCCATTTAAATTATCATTGAAATCGAACGCGATTAAAAAATGGGGTTTGGGGTAGGAGGGGAAAAATACTTTGCGACCTGTTCTCATACCATATTAAAATGTAATAAAGATTATGGTATATTATATATACGAGTATATATTAAAATTATATAAACATTATTAAAATCGGTCCAGCCGTTTCGGAGAAGTGTAACAAACACATGAGTGTAATATTTAAATATTAGATATCACACTATTTTTTTTAGTTTTCATTAAGTAGGTATCATTTGTTAGTATTGTTTGAAGTCGGTTTAACTTTTTCTTAGTAATAATGTTACTTGGTTAGTTCCAATTTTTTTTCTACACTTCAAATTAAATTGTAACAATTCTCCACATTAATTTTGAAATTTTTGAGGACGTAGGTACTCTAAAACCGATACTGAAGCCAAAGCTGTATTTTGCCTGTTAGTCCGTCTGTCTGTTCGCGGTGGATCATCATCATCATCATCATCAACAGCCTTTAACAATCCACTGCTGGACATAAGCCTCTCCTTAGAGAGGAGGTTTTGTTTCGCGGTGGATGTCTAAGGGATATTAAATAAAGCCACATAAGTATGAAGTCGAACACTATAATTATTAAATAATATAAACGCCAAACGCGCTTTACGAGTCGAGTTGAAGATTTCTTAAAAAAGTGAGATCGTCGTCGAGACTCTTGTCAAAATAGCAGTTGGAGGGCGTCTCGTTGTGGCTGGCGAGGCAACGGTGCTGGCGCAGCAGCAGGTACAGAAGCAGGTTGTACTCTGAAGTCGCGTTCTGCACCATCTTCAGCGTCGCCTCTTGCTGCTCTTGCTGTTCGTCCCACGCACGCAATCGCTCCAGGCTGGCGCCTAAGTATTGGTTTAACTGCAAATAATTAAAATCAATGTACTTCAAAATATTAACATGTTCCTCGTTTGTATAGGTTGTCATCTTTAACATCATCAAAGTTTTAAAAGTCCAATATCTTGAAAATGTTTAGGGTTGGGATATGGTATTTCATAGTGAAATCTATAAATAATGATGGCCTCTACAACCCCCTAAAGTATCTAGGTCGACTGCACCAGTAATCCTGCATATATACAAGAAAACCAAACGGTCCCAATATTGTTCCCTGTGAAACGCCTATTTTCAAATGACTACTTTCTCAATGAGTCGGCTTTTTGTCTATGTCTCAATTAATATTTCAGCAAATACACAGCTTGATGTAAGTTTACATCAAATTTTACGAGGATCCTGACGGTGCCGTAGGACCATCAAATTTATTACGTGTGCCTATATTATACATTACAATCAACTACAAAATACCTTAATAATTCTTCTTTCCATCAGTTTTCTCTGTATCCACTCGCAAAGATATGTGAAGAAACCAAGAAACACGAGCGTGACTGTGACAAGTAGGTCAAGCGGTGGCAACTTTAACCCCGCCAAATCAAACCAAGTGAAGCCGGTAAGGGTACTTTCCGGCTCTTCCGAGTGCGCTAAAGGGTCCTCTGTACCTAAATACAAATCTGGTACATAGTACTGTACCGGCAACAGCAGTAACGCAACTACCGCTGTTACCACTAAACCATTCGAACATCCATTTAACGCCATTACCAACCTACATCCGCCCACAGCGCTAGGTCCAGCTTATTACAATGTATTATAAACATAAAGGTGACTATTCATCTGGTATTGCTAATTTTTAAATATATCAATGTCCTATTGTTGTAGATTTTTGACACATGTCTTTTATTCTTCTAGACTTGACAGAATTTCTGATCTATTTTATAGAAGCAGGACCATAGAACAGTCACATTAGTTTCGCTTCATAGACTATGATCAACATGTGTGAAGGATATAATTAATAGAAGAAAATGACTGGATCCTGGATGGATGTACACATCCGTCTTAAAGGATATTAAAATACTTATTTGCCTGCTCAATATGCGGTTTCGCAATCATCTAACATTTGTTATACCATAACTAATTACGTCATCAAAATATTTAATATCTTTAGCTATTTAACTCTAATCGCCGCGCCGCAAATGTTTCTATTTTTGACAATACGTTGCTGTATCAAAATATAAAAAAGCCGTGTGGTGTCGTGGGACACCTGATAGGAACGAAGTTGTGACTATCTAGTAAAACTGATTCGACACGATTTTAATGACAACGCCATCTATGAAAGCGGCTATGACCTACATATTTTTCAGTTGGTTTCTAATTAAAACAATTTATACATTGGTAAAATCTCCTTGAGAAATGATTTCCTATCTATTCGATAGATGGCGCTGAATGACTGACAAGTGACTATTCAAAATAAATACTGAGATGTAAAGTAATGATTTCCTATCTATTCGATAGATGGCGCTGAATGACTGACATAAAAAGTGTCGTTACAACTTTTCCGTCTAGCCCCCTTTCACAACGCGCGATAAGGAACTTCGTTTCAAAATGAAAATAAGAAGACAAAAAGAACTATAGAAATAGTTCCATCAATCTTCTTCTTTTTTTTTTCAAGTGAAATCTTTTCTTTGTCAAACCAAAACGCAGAATACATAAGTATATGTTAAAATTCTGGAATAAAATTAATCCATAATTTAAAAAAAAAACAGTCAAATAATAAACCTATAAACAGTGTGGCGTTCTTTGTGTCGTTACAGACATAAAGAAATACCTAAAATACTGCAAACTGCCCTGGTAAATAATAAAACATTAAAAAAGCCTTGTACTGCACTATAGTTTTCCTTCTCAGATTTAATAAATATTTATAATCAACTAGTTGACGTTCACCTGCTTCTCTCATGGAAAGGAATGATTTTCGCCCGTTTTCGCAACATTTTTCATTGATACTCGGCTCCTGTTGGGCGGAGCATTTTTTTTTTATGGAAGAGGCAGCAAACAATCTGACGGGTCACCGCCCCCCATGAACGCATGCAGCTCAGGAGTCACAAGCGCATTGCCGGCCTTTGAAATCAAACTCTCTTTATTACATAAAAAAATTAAAATTGTTTAAAATCGTCTTTTATGTAGACTAAAGTCATAGATCAACATACAGAATAGCAACAATCTCTGTTTTGTCAAATATCGAAATACTTGTTTATCTTTTAGAGCCTAGAGTAGGGTACTACAAGTTTATTTCCATTTCTGATATTTATGGAATGTAGATCACTTCTTTTCAAAAAGCTTCCTTGTTTTTATGAACAAATATTACATTTTCATTTATAAATGGACTTACCACTATCATTATGTTTATTTCTTTAAACTTCCACCTTAATGAACAACGATTGCCTAAATTACAAAGTGCTCGAATCGCTCTCTTTTGCAGTACAAAAATAGTTTGAATGTCGGCAGCATTCCTCCACAGCAGAATACCGCACGACATTATGCTATGAAAATAACTGAAGTAAACAAGTCGTGCTGTATCAACATCAGTCAACTCTAGAATTTTTCTTACTGCGTATGCAGCTGAGCTGATTCTACTCGATAATTTATCAATATGTGGACCCCACAGTCTAGTGTCATAGGTACCTAAAAATGTCGTAGTGCCTATAATTTCTAACCCGTCATCCTTAATCATCACAGTGGTTTTCACTGGATTGACGTTTTGCATAGTGAAACTTATACACTTAGTTTTTGTTCATTTAAAAGCAAATTGTTAACGTCAAACCAATGAACCACTTTCGAAATGGCGCTGTTTAGGTCTGTGAAATTAGTAAGTGTCCGTTTTACGCAAACAACACAATCTCGAGATTGTCCTTGACAAGGTGAGGTAAGTCGATAGTATATATAAAAAACAGAATAGGCCCGAGAATAGAACCTTGAGGAAAGCCCATTTCTATTACAGAGCCAGAGGAAGGAGTAGGTACACTCTTATCTTAAATCTATGGAGGTCGTATCGTACCGGAAATACCGCAAACGATAACTTATTCCATAGATTGGTTGTGCGAGGCAAAAAGTGGAGCGCCAGTTATCCAAGTGGCAGGATAAAAGTGTTGCCGGAATGCGATGGTGGAAAGTTGCGGCCGGTATTAGTCCGAACAATTCCTCGGAGTACTCTCCATGATATATACGTTGATGATGATGATGTTATATAGTATGTATCCTTCCTCGATATTAATTTCAATTCAAACCCCTACGTCCTGAGATTACCTCTAACATAAAAACTCTACCTGTTTACAATAAGAGTATAGATCTCTCACAGTCTTTTCTGTGTCATTAACTCACTCACTTTTCATATTAAGATAATGTTTTTTTAACTGTTAGATATTTTTTATTTTTCTTTTATACAAACCGTGTCCTGGCAATAACGAACACAAAAAAAAGCTATGTGCGTAAATACATTTTGGCGATTCACATTTATTTTTATAATATAGATAAATATAAAACGGTACAATAACCACCATTTTATCATAAACGAAATATAAAATATAAATTTGGAAGTTAGTAATACCCTATTAAAAAATTAGTCAGCACTCAGAAGTGACATGAACGCAGTACAATGTGAACTGTCTTACTGTCACTACTGTCACTGTCACACACTGTTACAATAAACTTGTCAACAAATATAAAAAAACTCAATTTGCATAAGATATAGCAGTAAATTTACAAGTTCAAAGTACAGAAGGTGTTTGTATTTAAACGCATAAATGGTCCTGTAAACATATGGCACATGTCTCATGGTAGGTATTACAAATAACTTCCTACTTACAAACCTGTTTTGTTTGTATTTAATTAGTATGCAACACAATACCCTCACAATTTCCTGCTTTTTCAGGGTCAGTTGTTATGTGGAGTAACTCGAGTCAGGTATATTTAACATATGTCTCACTAACATGAAGAAAGTTATATTGTTTAAGAGTGAGTCTGAAGATTATGAAAGAGCATTTCTAGATGTGAACTATGAGACGTTGTTTGTTGAACCGCTTCAATTCGAGTTCATTAACAAGGAGGAGCTATCGAATAAACTAGTACAGAAAGATTACAGAGGCCTCATACTCACTAGCCCAAGAGCCATCGAAGCAGTATCTAAATGCTGGGACCCCACCAGGTTTGTCATATGGAACACAAGAAGAATCTACACCGTGGGAGAGGTGAGCTGCCACAAAATAAAACTTTTGTTGGGGCTAGAAGCAATTGGTGCGACATCAGGTAGCGGGGAAAATCTAGCTAATATTATTACTAAGGAAAATCCTGAGAACTCAAAGTTTTTGTTTCCGTGTGGCAATTTTAAGACTGAGACATTACCAAATATTTTGAAAGCTTCAAATATTGCAGTTGATGCACTAACAGTCTATGAGACTAAAGAAAATGATAATTTAAGAAGTAAGCTGATGGCGGTCAACGAGAGTGCTAACTCGTGCTGTATGGTGTTCTTCAGTCCTTCCGGATGTGAGTACATATATCGACAGCTTCAGACATTCAGTAATAATTTATCTGTACTGCCACACTTTGCCATTGGCAACTCCACTGCGCACAAGATTGAGAACCTCGGTGTAGAAGTGGCGGGAGTGGCAGCTCGGCCTAAGGCTGACTCTGTAGTGGAAGCGGTGAATAATTACTTTGCACAGTTACAAATTAGTTAGCAGTGAACTATTTGTGATATACAATTCCTTTTATAGGAGGCCCAATGCCTTGAAGATTAATCAATTACTTCAACAATACATGAACAAATAACCCACTACTAGTACTAAGTATAGATCATAATATCATATATTGATAGCTACCCTCAATTTTCATTTTTATGACTGCATTAGCTTGGTCTGCGCATGTAAGCCAACCAATATGCAAATGGAATTCTTCTTTCTAAATTATTTATATTGACTTTTGTTTGTAAATACTATCGAAATATAATTGTTATCTGTGTAGGCCTTTCCAACTTTAACCATAAATAGCCTATTCCTAGCCACTATCTGTCTGTAAAACTGTCTTATAGCTGGTGTCTATTTTATGAATGTATCTCTGTTCCTTTCTCAACCATTGAATATCATGAATTATAAAATATAAACTGACTATTAAAAATTGTTAATTGTACAAATTATGAATACAGGAAAATAATTGTTAACAAGTATTCTTTTTATAAAATATATTTGTAAATTAATTAGTTGGCTATCTTATTTAATAACTACAATTTAGCAAGCAATATTTATAGCTGGTGTCTATTTTATGAATGATGTATCTCTGTTCCTTTCTCAACCATTGAATATCATGAATTATAAAATATAAACTGACTATTAAAAATTGTTAATTGTACAAATTATGAATACAGGAAAATAATTGTTAACAAGTATTCTTTTTATAAAATATATTTGTAAATTAATTAGTTGGCTATCTTATTTAATAACTACAATTTAGCAAGCAATATTTAGTATTGCACTTAAACGTCTTGTTCTGTGGGTATTGGTCTGGTCGGCTCGTAGGGCGTGTGCAGCGCATCCCATCGACGCATCACCGATACGTAGGTGATCACAGCGCTGCCCAGCAGCATGCCGGCATTCACAATACCTAATGGCTGAAATATTTAATGGTAAATGCTAATTCTATTGTCTATACATAAATATCACAATGTTTTCTGCGCTTATAAAAAAATGTGGGTATTAAAATACCCATATTATTTTTATTAAATTCCAATATACCGCGTTTATTGTCCTATCAAGGTCCTGGGCTGCAGGAAACAAATGACCTTAAAGAGCTGAGTAAATTCGTCGATAAACAATCAACGCAAACCAAGTTTTCAGTCAGTTGAATTTTACACAATTGTAGAGGATATGCACATTTAAAATTTCTTTAGGAAACGTATTATAAGATTCCCTGGTAGTTATATTATTTAACATGTGCATAGTGTAGTAACTAAGTAATTCTAAGGGGAGGCCTATGTCCAGTCAGTCGACTACAAAAGGCGATTGATGATAGTGTAATATCTAAACACTCACACCATGTACGTAGCTGATCGAGTCTATCATCTCGCATACAGTCATCGTGAGGACTGCCATTAAAAAGAGCAGGACTCCCATTACAGCCGACAGTATAATATCCTGTAAAAGTAAGTAGTAAGTTCTTATGACAGTCAGTTAGTCCTTTATGGCTGACTTCACACAGGACATCGATCACATAGTTCGCAGGGTTTATTTTAACATCAAGCTTCGGTTCGAAATCACATCAGAGCATCTCAGTTGTGCGTCATATCGTTGGCACACAATAAACACACACTTCACACAATAAAAAGGCTAGGGCAGTATTTCAGTTGTGTGTATTGTATGCAGCATGTATAGGTCAGTATTTTAAATTGACCTCACCAATAATAGTTCATACGATATCAGACTATTTTTATCTATTGACGGATAAAAAGGATGCTTAGTACTGTTTATTTTGGGTTACAGTGATCATTGTACATTGTACATAGGGCTCCTGCAGCGTGCCTGCGACCGATCGGTCCTTTGGAATCAAAGACATACTACTAACCTCAAAAAGCTAACTAAATTTTGAATTTCTATCGTTCGGTCGCAGGTAGCTAACTGCTAGTCGCCCGTACGCTACACTGTCTTTGGTGCGATGGTGGTGAGATGAGTTTCACCATTGCCGTTTGTATGACGCACACGCAGATGCTGTAGCAGCTTTGATTGTATGATAGCAGATTTGGTTATTGGTTTCAAATTATTGATAACAAGTAATTTAGATACTAAGCTTTTTCTGATATCGCACCTGCCTTTCGTCTATCTAACCTGGATTTATCATCGATATAAGTAAGATAGATACTGACAGTGAGCAGGCACACTTGTGGTGAGTACAGCGACAGGTCAAGCACGATGACACCATAGAACACAACTGTGATAATCCCGCAAGACAGCGCCACGAAGCTCGCACTCGGTATAAGCGATGGCGCGGTTCTGCATGTACCATTAGTCAACAGTAAAACTGATGAGATTACGCACACTATCTGAAAGAAAATAAATCGACATATAATTCTTCAGGTAGGTACATACCCACTGTTAATAGCTATGGTATGTTATAGTCAACAGAATAAACTCAATATCCACATAGTATCTATACAATTAGTTCAGCAGTGCGCTCGTAACAGCATAACAACGCACCGCTTACACACAATCACCGCAAAGCGGTCCCCAGAAACCTCGACATACATTCCTGAGACAAACACCACAAATTCGCCACTACTCAGTTTACCAATTTGTAGTTTATTGAAAGTTAAACACCAACTAATCTGATTCTAAGTCGTCTCGGATCTCATTTTGCGTACAGTAACCAGCTTGTCGAGATTATCAGGATTTCTTTAAGCTATGACCAAGTAACTGGGTGTGCGTTGTTAGCGAATTATAAGAGCTTAACATACCATTTTATCGAAAAATGGGACTTGACTTTTTTAATCATGGTAGGTAATAGGTCTTAGCTATTTGATTATTGCTTGGTTTAACGCGCGGACACATAATCGGTAAGCACACTGGCTCATCGTGTGTCGATGTTGAAGTTGAATGCTATATTGATCTCACTTCTTAATGTGAATTCAGGCTGTCTATTAACTAAGTGCCTTATAAGTACTACTACTAATAAGCTACAATGGTTGTTTTCTTTGTGAAAGGGATTGACGTATCCAGCTAACAGTTGGTCAAGTGTATTAATCCCATAGACGGCGAAGACAGATAATAATAATAATAGTAACTTCACACATCACACGCACATGGCCGTCTGATCAAAAATATCCCTATCCCATAAATGGGGCTTCAAATTATATGTTCTTTGTGATTTGGTGGGATATGCCAACAAGTTTGAGGTATATTCTGTACAAGAGAAGTCAGAGAAACTCCCAGATAAACCAGATCTTGGTGCAACAAAAAATGTTGTAAGTAGTACGTTTGCTTCGGGGAGTGCCAAGAAGGCGAAACCACATCATATACTTTGGTCATTTTTATACCTCTTTGACATTAGTAGTTTTTTTAGCTAAAGCAGGAATTCACACAGTGGGAACTGTGCAACAAAACAGGATACCAAATAATAAACTACCAGAAAAAAAAGGATTTCATGAAAAAATCTGTGCCCAGAGATAGTTTTGAGGAAAGACTTTCTATGCATGATGGTATAGATACAAGTTGCGTAGCTTGGAAAGAGAATAAGATAGTAACCCTGTTATCTTCTTATGCTGGAGCATTGCCTGTAACTAAAGTCAATAGATATGACAAGGAAAAAATGATATTACTTGCCCATTTATTGTCCAAGAATACAATTAACACATAGTAGTAGATCTCATGGATAGCTTTTTGGGCAGAAATCATATAACAATAAGGTCTCATCATCATCATCATCAGCCTATCGCAGTCCACTGTTGGACATAGGCCTCTCCCATTGCACGCCACTTAGATCGATTTTGGGCTTGGGATTTTGGGCCAGCTCCTGCCAGCCATCTTGCGCAAATCGTCACTCCACCTGGCCTGTGGGTGTCATACACTACGTTTGCCGAGACGCGGTCTCCACTCAAGAACTCGTTTTCCCCAACGGTTATCGGTTCTGCGGCTAATATGGCCAGCCCACTGCCACTTCAGCTTGCTGATCCGGTACGATATGTCGGTGACCTTGGTTCTCTGCCGGATCACCTCATTTCTGATGCGATCCCTTAGAGAAACGCCGAGCATGGCCCTTTCCATAGCACGTTGAGCGACTTTGAACTTGTGGACCAGCCGTACCGTAAGTGTCCACGTTTCAGCTCCGTATGTCATGACGGGTAGGACGCACTCATTAAAGACTTTCGTCTTAAGGCACTGTGGGATCGACGATGAGAATAAGGTCATAATAAGGATAAGAATAAGGTATAAGGTCTAAAAATGGTATTTAATTTTGCGTTTTTTTTTTCATCTATTTGATCTTGCAATAATAAACTCTTGGATTGTTTATAAAAAAAAATGCTCAAGAAAGGGGTGAACCTAAAAAGAGTCTGCTAACAATGGGCCAATTCAGAAATAAATTGGCCTTTGTGCTATGCAACAAAGGAACCACCAAAGAAGCTAAAAGAGGGCGGCCTAGTACCAGTATCCTAGAAGAAGAATTACAATAAAAAAAAGGTTCTCCAGCTCCACCACCTCCAAAAGACATAAGAAAATATGGTGCTGAACATTGGCCAAAAGTAAGTGGGTCACTCCGGTGCAAAAATTCTAAATGTAAAGGCTATTCCACAATTTCGTGTACTAAATGCGGAGTTAATTTGTGCCTGAATAAGGAAAAAAAATGTTTTTTAAATTATCATAAAGAATAAAGAAGAATAAATAAAGAATATTTTTTTATTTATTTAGTACTGAGCTAAATATGCGAAAATTTTGTTTACATACCTAATTCATATTTTTTATTTTTAGGATTTTTTTAAATATTTTTCCCTTAATCTAGAGCATTAATTACATCACTGATTTATTTAAAAAAAAATAGAAAAAATCATTCAGAGGGGTTAAACATTGAGAATGTTATGCGAGTGTATTATATAGCGTAAGTATTCTCTAAAATGTACCTATAAAATAATACGACGATGAAGAAATGGACACCGTACCAGTGTCAGCTTTAAATAAGAAAGTGCTTTGATGGAAGCTGTCACTCCTATTTCACCTTTATAATTTTATAAGAAACATATTTTTTTAACAAAATTAATAGAGCGCTCAATATCTGTGCTGGTAACTATACTAAGACCGCTGAATGTATTGATTAGTATATATAAATATATATACAACATTTGAAATGATGACGTGATAGATAATGATTATATGTTACCTATGTATTTATTTAGTCTTAATTTTACACCTGAACTTAAATCACTAAATGCTAGTATTTTTTTCTTTTATCTTCGTTTATAAGAAAAAAACGAATAGTGATTATAATGATAAATTTCCTAATTTTTTTGTGGAAAAGTGAAAATTTACAAGCATGTATCACATTTGGAGTGACCTATATAAGTATATATAAAGAGAAATGGGTTTTGAAGTATATTGGAGGGAATTGCCGTTACAAAAGCGCGGGTTAACCTAAGTTCATACTTAGTTACAAAAATACCTCATAAACAGGTATGGTGTGTTCGTGATATACTATTTTTACACGATGTTTTAGTTCTCTTTCCAATTTCTATAAGCTTACTGAGTAACGAGACGAACTTAGGTGTGACCCGGACGCTTGGTTTTTGATGAATCGGACAAACGTTTTTTTTTATAACCAGCATCAATGATATTTGCATTTGTACATAAGTCAGCAAAATCAGCTGTAGTAGCTGTTTTCTTTATTTTTGAAGTTACGAGGTTCAAGAGGTTCAAGGAATGACCAAGGAAAGACTGACTCCTTGGTGGCCCTATTTTGTCTTTTGAAGATTTTTTTCTATTGTCGAGTCTTTTAAGTAATTAAAATCGATGAAATATGCATAAAATGCTATCAAATTGCCGGTGCATGAACAGTCGCTACTGGGTAAAAACACCCATACTCACTTTATATGTATGCAACATCCAAATGCTTGGCACCAACTGAAGTGCACGCGAGGAGCGTGCTCCGTATTATTTCCTAGGAAGGTACTAAGAAAGACAGCATTTTTAGTTAATGTTAAAAAATTATGACGTAATTTCATGTGTCTATGGTATTTTTTACCCGGTAGAGCACAGAGTACAGATATACTATTCGATCTACCGATCATTCGGTTTCTTAACCGTACGAACTGTAATCATACTTACCGCAGATAACAGTTTGAGGATTCCTTCCAGTGACAGAACATAGTCAGTATCTGTATAGTACTGACGAAATATCCTGTCACCCGGTTGGTCGGAATGAGCACAAGGCACAGTCGTATTCACCTCCTGCTGAGGTGGCGAGGCATCCATCACACTTTGTTATCTCCCAACAAAAGAACACCAGTAGCTAATAATGTATCTGTATGTCATAACAGAGATTGGATAAGGGAGAGGTAAACTTGATTGAACGACTATTAATGTATAACTGAATTCGTTTAGATAGTTAAACTTATCGGTGTACTTAAGTAGATACTATCAATAATTATTTAAAACCAGATAATCTTACTATTCGTTGATAAGCCTCGCTGAAATCAGATCAGATCGGTACCAGTTATTGTGCATATTAATTAAAGTGATAAAGAACTAAAGATGAAGCAGTGGAATGCCGTTTAGTTTATATTTTTAATTTTAATACACCTGTGTATAGGATAAAGCGGTAACAATGTTAGTCATCGACGGCCTGTACTAGTCCACTGCTGGACACATGTCTCTCTTTAAAAAGAAGATCTTGGCCTACTATACCACGCTGGCCAGACGGGTTGGTATAGGACTGGTGTCAAGTTTTCCTTTTCTTTGCAGTGCTGTTGTCCGGCGTAGTTTGCTCCTTTAGTCGGCTCTTACGACACCAGAATGAATAGGGGTGGTCGCACTCCGTACTCTTAACACGTCATCACACGGACGAAACAATTTTACTTAAATTTCCTTACATAAAAATGTTATTTTAAAACTAAGAAGTTGTACTTCAGAGGCGATAGGAAAAGCAAATATTTTGAAATCTATCTCACGAAATATTATCTACATCGGTAAATCAGCAAGGATGTTCATAGAACCTGTGTACTTTTCTGAAAATCGGAAGATCGAGGGAAATGGCAAGGCAAACATAGGTATAACCGCAATAATAAAAAAACTCGTTAAAATAGAAGATAGGTTTAAAAATCTCTACCTATGACCAATATGGTCTCTAATCCTATCAGTGAGTATTAAAAAAGCGATGAACTGATTTCGCCTTAAGACAAATTATACACTAACAAAGGACTAGATATAAACCATTATCATATCATTATCAAAAACATAGAGATAGTTAGATATAAAAGTACTCTTTATTGCACACCATGGATATAAAACATACAATGCAGAATATAAAATAAAAAGCACTGGTACAATGCGCGGCCTAGTACGAAGTCAGCGATCTCTTACAGGCAACCTTTGGATGGACTATACTGTATAGTAACATGTAGTTTGTGGTGCGCATAATATACATTTACACAAATACATATTCATACACATACATACATTACACATAAATATACATACATTAGATACCTATATAACACATAGTTCTTACAGAGATAAATAGTGATCCTTGACGAGTCTCTTAAAAGTACTCACTGACCGTGCCCGGCTTATAGCTTCCGGTAAGGAATTTCATAGGCGTGCTGCTTGTACTGTAAGAGTTATATCAGTAAGAGTTGTGGAGTGTGTTGGTATTTCTAGTCAGATTTGCGATGATCTCAAGTATTGTGTATGTGTCATGGATAGAATAGAAGTAGATAGGAGTTGCAGGATTGAATAAAAAATATTATCTAGTAGAGAGAAGATGAGAGTATTCCGGCGAAGCTGAATTGGGAGCCACTTGAATTTGCCTAAAATGAATCTTATGCAGAAGTTCTGAAGTCTCTCAAATTTATCGAATTGTTCCTCGTTCAGCTCAAGATAGCCGACATCCGCATTGTCAAGGATGGGAAGAAGAATACTGACAACCTTAATGGCAGTTGGAAGGAAATTACGTAATCATATACATAGGTACGTAAACATAGCTACTTTTTATTTGCAACAACAATTACTACGGTTACATATTAGTGCAGTCATGTGGAAACGGCCAATTTTCAATCAATTAGGTAATTCAATGGTTTTATAGAATTCTTTAGTCTCAACTGATTTTCAGATACTCGCGATCCGCCTTGACTTCGCACGGGTGCAGTGAAGATACTACTAATTTAGCGAGTTCAGCCAGCGTTTGTAATGTAATTGCACACAAATCTTTGAAATTCTCGGCTTTTCTCTACTATAATATGCATGTATTACATCCATAATCCGTGTGGTGACGGATAAAGCATACACAGTGTCACTATCCCTATTCATCCCGTCGGTGTGGTAAGAGCCGACTAAGGAAGTAAACTGGCCAGCGTCCAAACCTCCTTTCTAAGGAGAAGCCTATGTCCAGCAGTGGACTAGTAAAGGCTGTTGATGATACATATAAACCTTCCTCAATCAATCAATCAAGTTAAGCTTATCGGTGTACTTAAGTAGATACTATCAATAATAACCTTCCTCTTGAATCACTCTTTCTCTTGATGAAAACCGCATTAAAATCCGTTGATTAGTTTAAAGAATCTAAAAAGCGACTTTATACTATGTAAAGATCACGAGAGCATTGCTACATTTGTTGAATAAAATACCACGTCATCACGTCAGGCGCAAAGTGCTGGACCTATTATACGTTCCACTAATCAGAAAATCTAGGCACAACGGTCACAGTTCAGATTCTAATGGCTCAGTGAAAAGAACGACCGAACACAGAGCAGTAGTAGTATCTTAGAGAATTAATAATATAATATTGTACCACATTCACACAACGCCATCTAGTCCCAAACTAACCAGAGCTTGGGTTACGGGTACTAGACAACTGATATAAATACATATTTTTTTTTTTTTTTGTAAATACATACATATTATACATAGAAACACCCAGACCAAATCAAAACCGAATTGGCCGAAACGACAATAAAAGTCGAGTGAACGCAAAATCTAAGTTTCAAATTACCTACGTGTTATTCGAGAATATAGTTGGTTTCTATAGTAACTAAATGTTCTGTGACGTACTTAACAATTACTACCCACAGAAAATTGTCATTGATTTGACGAATGCCTATCCTCAAGTGATTACTGATCACGTGTCTTGATCCCCAAAATCTCAACTTTTTTTTTAAAATGACGCGTATTCTGTAATTATTGAGCTATTGTGTCGCTTGCTAATGAGGGCTTGCTCGATGAAATATTAATTTAAGCGCTTTAAGATTCTCGACAATAGGTATACCTATACTATAATAGAAAATATGTACTTGTTTTTTAAAAAAGGAATAATAACCAGACAACTGCAAATTCCACAGACAGTCACAAAACCTTGATTACCATTGGGATAAAAGTAAAACAAAAAATATATATTTGTATAAAACCATATAATTATTATCATTAAAATTTTTAAAGTAAAAATGACTCTCACATTATTTGTTGAGATCGTACACAATAAACACCTGCAGCCGCTCGCGTGGTCGGTCTCGGTCGAGTGGCTCGTGCGGCTCGTGCGGCTCGTGCGGCGGGGCCGAGGGCCGGCCGGAGGGGACCGATACTTTAATGTGATATGTATAAGACATACAAACAAGAAGAACTGAGCCGGGCGCACGAGGGGCTCGTGGAGCGGGGCGACGGGTCGGACAGTATAAAATTGGTTCCTATAACGACTTTATTACACGTTGAACTTTTCCTTACGTTTAACTATAAGTACGTTTATACTATGAACAATAATAATCGTAGAATATCATAATATATCATGCAAACGATTCGATCCATTACAAGCTTACGACGAAACGAGGGACGCGCACCGGGCGCGCGCGGTCCGTACGACGGTATACGGCTATCGACGTAACCGTGTATACTTCGCTTACGAGTGAACGATTACCCTTGCATACGTTTCGCGTATATTACGGTTTCGGTTTCGATACGCACGGACGAGGACGAACGGGGCGACGTCGACGCGAGCGCTCGAACGTCGACCGGCCCGGCGACGCGGGGTCGGGCCCAGGCCCGGGCCGGTCGCGCCCGGCGCGGCGCCGGCGCCCGCCCGGGATCCGAGCGAACGGTCGCCGACTAAATCTAAAACCGACTAGAATAAAAATCAGACTCGCGGAAAACAGAGATCGGGGCGGAGCGCGACCGCGCGCCGCGATACAAAACTATAAAAGACGGGCCGGCGCGACTAGAAGTCGGTGGCGAACGGCCTTCACTATAACGGGTCGTCGCGCGACGTGGACGGCAGCGGCGCGGAGTCGGGCGGCGCCTGCGGCACGGCCAGGTAGGCGCGGCGCGCGCGGGCCCAGGCGCGCAGCGAGCGCGTCACCAGCGCGCCGCCCACCAGCGCCGCGCCCAGCGCCAGCCCCGCGCCCGCCAGCAGCAGCGAGCGCAGGCCGGGCGCCGCGCGCGCGTAGGCCGGGGCCAGCGCCGCCGCGTGCAGCGTCAGCGCGCCGCCCGCGCCCAGCGACAGCGCGCTCCACGCGCTCGTCCACGCGCCCTGCGCGCACGTCACGTAGCGTTAACGCTCACACTCATTTCTGGTGACGACTCGACGTTTTAAGGTCTCTACGGCACATTGTAAGAAAAAAGTTCCCGTGAACCCCGGCCGTATCGCCCGTTAATCAGAGGCGGGGACGGACCCGTGGCTACCGTCTCGGTACTGATTCTACAAGGGTAACGGGCACCTCACTCGTTACCCTCGATCTCCATTGATTTTTGGTGTTCGATCTTTATATTCGTTGAGTAAAAAACCCCTTTTTCCGTTTGACTATTATTTCATTAAACTATGCCACCAGAAATGAAGATTGTAATTGTGAGTAGATAAAGGTCAATAATTCTGAGCCATACACACACATACTACTCATTTTTAGTATGAAATAATTTATATTTTATCTGTATTTAAAAAGACAACTCCCGCACTAGGAATAAATCCTGTGTCACGGGATACTTAACGAACAAGAACACCCAGACTGAGAGTTCAATGTAGATGATGTGGGAATCGAACCCTAACACTCAGCGCAGTAGGAAACGGGGACGCGACCGCTTACACCACTACGACATCCATGCATCAATATATTATTAAGAATAAGGGTTAAAGTATGAAATTGCCGTTATAGATTTAGGTAGATACTTTGAATTGACATAAAACCTTCATAGTGTGAGATTTTCGGGTAAAACATTTTGCACATAATACCTCTGAGGTTCTTCTTTTAAAAATTATGCATTGATTTTCGACTTTGATTGTTTTTTTTTTTATTTAGCTTAGACGAAAGATGGATACTTCGATTTTTTTAAATACTAGTTCAGACGCGGAACTAAAGCGGCAGAAACGGCGAACTAAAGCGCAATATCAACGCTGCGTTTGGAGTGCAGACTACTAATCAACGCACCGTGCGTTTTTGGTATAAACGCTTTCGTAATGGAAACTTCGACTTGAAGAACGAATTACATGGAAGAGCCCACAGGTGAATAACGCTGAATGAATGGAGGATCTATGAAGGAGATGGTGGAAGCCGATCTGAGTCAAACTACCCAGGAATTAGGGGCATGGTGTATCGTTACCCTACAAACAATATTGACTCATTGGCATCAAATCAATAAGATAAAAAAAAGGAACAATGGGTGCCTCATGATTTGACTGATCTGCAGAAAGAAATGCGTATTGAAACTTGTGTTGCCTTGTTGAATTGGTACAGAAATGAAGGAATATTCGAATGAATTGTGTCAATTGTGACATTTGACGAAAAGTGGATTGTTTACGATAAGCGTAAGTAAAAAATGCAATGGCTGACCCCAAGTCAAACTCCGCAACAGTGCCCTAAATCAAAGCCCACCAATAAAAAGGTAATGGTAACTGTTTGGTGGTCTCTTCATGGTGTTATTCACTATAGCTTTCTCAGGTCTGGTCAGGCAATAACAGCAGATGTTTACTGGGCCGAACTTCGAACAATCATGGTGACACTAGCAGTGAAACAGCCGCGACTCGTGAATCGATCTTCACCATTATTGCGCTAATCCAAGACTTCACACTGCACGAGAAATCGTTGTAACTCTAAAGAAGCTGCAGTTACAAACCATACGTTATCCTCAGTACTCGCCATACATTGCTCCAACGGACTACCCTTTCTTTCGTGCTTTGACTTCTACGTGATAAATTAAAACTTCCCAGGAGGCAGTACAAAATTCTTTCACACAGTTCTTCGAATCTAGATCCTCAGACTTCTATCGTAAAGGCATAACTGAAATTCCGTTTAGATGGCAGCAATGAATAGATAATGAGGGTAACCATTTTGATTTAATAAATATGTTACATCTCAGAAAAAAATGAAATTCAATTTTTCAGTACAAATCGGCAATTTCATACTTTAACCCCTAATAGTTACATAATTTAAAAGTTTTTTTCCACATGTAACATCTTCATGGAATGAAAAATTTTACTGTATTAATCGTGGTTTTACAAAATAAAATTATTCTATTGTATGAGTCGGCAACGAGCACTTGTCAGTTACGACAAAGCAAATACGTACCAGCTTGTTCCAGTCGAGCGGCAGCAGCGCACTGAGTCGCGTTATGTGCATCACTAGCAACGCGGCGTGCAGCAGCGCCGACGACAGCGCCGCAAGCAGCAGCAGCTGCAGCCGCGACGCCAACGGCATGCGAGCCACGCCCCGCCCCACGCCAGCCCACACGCACGCGCACGAGCTCGTGCAGCACAGCTGAAACGTACGAGGAGCAGTCGGTTAGGGAACCCACGACTCGGATATGCTATCCCGGTTATTTGAGTTTATCAATAAAACAAACAGTGACGTACCACGAGGAAGGCGCTGACGGCCCCTTGCAGCGTGAGCAGGTGTCGCAAGCGGCAGTAGAGCGGCGCCAGAGGGCGCGGGTGTGGCAGCGGCACGCGGCGGTACTGCGCGTGGCTGTCCCACGAGTGCTCCGTCAGCTCCGTGCCCGCCGGAGAGCGCCCGCCGCCGCCGCCCCCGCCCCCGCCACACCCGCTCCCCGCTATCTCGAAGTCCTGTTCCCACACCCGCACACACAGACACTCTTTACTAGTCATGATACTATAATGAACACTGCTTTTAGAAACTTCCAACATCACCATTGTAATATTGTAATAAGGGATTTATAGTAAGGGACTTTATTGTGGCAAAAAGTTCAAAACATAATATAGTAGAAAAAGGTGTAGAATAAATTTAAGAGACTTGACAACAGGACGTGCAACTGGAATAACAATCAACCAACTAAAACTAATACTATTTACCTAGACTATGAAAAAACTTTCAATAGAGTTCCCATTAAAAGATTAATAGCAAAGCTCGAGCACTTCGGAATCTGTGGATAGCTTCTTCAGGGAATATCTGACTTCTTTGCTAATAGAAAATTCAGAGTAAAACTGAGAGGTACACTATTGAAAGCTCACTATCTACACAGCGGAGTGCCTCAGGGATCTGTGATCGGACCTGTCTTGTTTGGTATCTTCATTACTGACCTGAGAGGTGCTGTTAGATCAGACTTATCAGTGTTGGCCGATGATACCAAAGTATTGGGGAAGCCCCTCATTAGTCATAATGTTTTACAACAGGACTTGATAGTATTCTCATCCTACTAAATGCTACAAAGTGTACCATTTTAGACAAAGTCAACAACAACCTGCAGTTGAAATACAAGATTGGTTTGGTAGAATTGCAACCTGTAAGTTCCCTTTCATTTCACCATTTTATTTTTTCATCATTTCATTTCATCCACTGTTGGAGTACACATTTCAAATCTGGAATCCATACTTCAAGAAAGTCATAGAAATGCTCAAAAAAGTACAACATAAGGCTAGAAAAATGGTAACATATGTAAAAAAAACAAGTTATATTAACAACACCTTATCAGACTAAACTTAACTACACAGACAAAGAGAAGGTCTGATTGAAACATTTAAAATATTAACTGGAAACTACAATGTGAAAGACATCGGAAACCTCTATAATATGAATTCTAATCCCCAATTGAGAGGACACTCATTAACCCTTAGTTAGAAACCCTATAAGACACTTTCTACCAAATAGTGTGGTGATCATTTGGAATTGTTTACCAGAAAGTGTAATTACAACAAACAACACAACAAAACGAACACAAGTGCAGTGATATGCACATATCAGATCCATGATCTGCTAGTGCATTATACAATAATAATAACTTAGAATTAGGAACTTAGTCTGAACTGAACATAAATAAACAATTTTAACACAATTTCAACTCAACTGAAAATGGTTTTGTTTGGGCCCACGGTGACCTCATCTATAATGCACACTTGTTTGAACAGTGTACGCTGAAGTCAACATAGCGTGCTGTAATTTTTAGTGCTTTGCCTACTTCTGGAAACAGTTAGACGATTTAACGTATACCAACGTCTTATGAAGTGTTACTATAGATACAGGTGAAAAGTGAACATCTATTACATGGAAGTAACAGGGCAGATACCTGCAGGTCTTCGCCGCGACAGCTCGTGGGCTCCAGCTCCCTTATCTCGTCCAGCAGCAGCTCCACTTCGTCTGTCGAGTAGAGTTCGCTCACTGAAACGTAGCGCGCCGGCGCCGCTTGCATATCACCCACCGACTCGCCTACCGCCGAGCGCCTTCGCCCCGGCACCTCCTGTAACCGCCGACCACGCACACGCTCATGTTACCCCTCACAATCAATATATACATAGCACTCATACACTCTGCCCTACCTTTTCCGCCCGTTGACATTTAGACGCCGTCCTTCTGTATGTGACCACATAATATGTAAGCGTGATAACATTTACGGAGGTGTTGACCTAATAAACAAAATTCAATGACGCTCTGATACCCGCCATGTTTGTTATCATATTTTTTTCATGCCGTCAAGTCAGTATTGCCATGTAAAAACATGATCAGTACCACTGTGCAGCTACTGATATGACACAATCTACTATAAAAGGGTTGTGTACTTGAAAACAATTTTTTTGAATCTTGCCTGTATGAACTTCAGAGTACTGCCATTCTATAATAAAAAGGCCTTTGGATACTAAAGTATGTCTTAATTTTATGTAAGTTATATTTATTTTTCTTACTCTTCATTTTCTGTTATAGACCACGCCCGAGTAAGTTGAAGTGGTTGTGGAAAAAATTAAAACGGTAACTTGCTATGAACAGTTAAACACTGATATTCGTGGTATATTGTGATTTGACTTGGATCAAAACGTGTCGCGTATCGTTAGGTTCCGTCGGGTTTTAATAGTTGTACCGATGCCTCTATTATTTACAACAAACATTCATATACCTATTCTGAGGTTAATGTCTTATATTGGAATCCCAGATTTTGAAACTTAAAGTTAAAATCTGCCGAGAGAGTAGACCGCAAAGTACAGAGGAGAAAACAATTAAAATACTAGGGGATAACCAAATATCCAATCATGTAAATGAATGCATGTGACAAACCCGATTTACACAAGTATACGAAAAAAAATTGAACTTTTTATTTGAATTTCTTTTAGTCTGAGCCTCTGAGGTTGAGATTTACCTTGCAGTTTACACCAACAATTTTTTTAAAGACTACTCTCGCACTAGGAATACATATCCTTTACTTAACTTTACAAACATTGATGAAATGGTCACAAAGAACACCCAGACTCAGAACTACAGTTTGTGGATCACAGAAAATGTTGTCCCATGTGGGGATCAAACTTACACACTCAGCCCAGCGCAGTAGAAAGCGGCGAGGTGACCGTTAAATTGTGTTACATAAAAAGTATGCTACCTCCAATAGGTATTGCAAGCTCTTTTATCAAAAGTGACAAAAGTGACTAATATATATTGATTCTATTAATTTGATTGAAGAATAGATAATAAACAATAAATAGATGCGAAATAAACTGACTCTTGGGCGTCAGAGTGCCTGGTGTTAGTTTATTTCACTTTTACTGTCATAAGAAGTATTCTCGGCAACGCTTCAAAAAGTCGATTTCAAACAATTTTAAATTTGTTTATGAAATTATGAAGATATTTTGAGTTTGAACGCCAAATGCGGTCACCGTGACCTTCAGGCGACCTAGTGTGAGCCGCGAATACCAATTATGATGTTTGTGAGATCGAGAGCAGATCGGTACTAAATCAGTTTACCTGTTTCCGATTCAACTTTTTTGCACGCTTAAACTTTTCCCATGAACATTTAAATCAAGCTATCGTCAGATACAATCAACAACTGAATCTGGTCCATTTTAACCCAAAAAAAGACACAGATTTGCGCGTTCACCGCATAAAAGATACTATAGAAGTTAGGAAGTCGGTAAAAGGATACGGCTGATAGATATTAACAAGAGTAATTTATTAAAGGAATCAAGGAACTATAATGTTCAAAGGAGCGAGGGAGCACACGCGATGGCCGTTGATCGTGTACTCAATGTTTATAATAAGTAATGAATTATTATATGGAAAACAAGCGCTTGTTCGGCAATAGTGAACGGTGTCATCGTACAGATACCGTTAGTCGTATCGCCTCGGTTCGAGAGCACCTCCCTGACTGCCTCAGCCAGTATTGCAATCCTAGGTATTGAGATAAGTCCAGTTTCGCAGTCATTTAAAAGGTAAGCTCCAATTGACCTCAAGGAAGCTCGATGTGCTGAACAGATCGAGGCAGTATTACACTCTAGCCCATCGCCTCCAACTCTATAAGGCGCAAGTCCGACCGCATATTGAATACTGTTCTCATCTCTATCCAGGGGACAGGGGTACCTACTGTAGTGCCCACAGTAGGTACCCCTGTTCCCCTTTTTTTTTTTTCCGTGCGGAAATCCCCTCGGATACCACCTGTCGGTGGCATGTCGGACTCGAACCGACTAAAACCGCACGCCGTCTCGGGTACTAATAGCCGGGGAACCAGGTATAGAAAGGAAGTCCCTGGTGCAACCCCTGTCCCCCTGGTCGTCGTCGTCGATAGCCAAAAGATTTGCGACCGGCTCGATCCCTTGGCGTTACGTAGAGATGTAGCTTCGCTCTACATTCTCTATCGTATATATCATGGAGAGTGCTCCGAGGAATTGTTCGGACTAATACCGGACGCAACCGGTCGATATCGTTCCACACGGCAAAATTTTCATCCGCACCACTTGCATATTTGGCGCTCCACGACTGTGCGCTTTTCAAGACACTTTTTGCCTCGCACTACCCACCTGTGGAACAAGTTATCTGATGCGGTATTACCGGACTGATACGACCTTCAAACCTTCAAGAAAAGACCGTACGCGTCTGCTCGTTTGCCCCCTATTCCATAAAAAAATCAATTCAGCAGAATGTTGTCGTTTCGAGACGAGTATTAAATAAAAAATATAATTGCTTAAACTCCAATGATGGGTCATTGGAGTTTAAATATTTTTTTTTGAACATTCTTCTATTTTATCTATGATTAATGAAGCGTTCAAAGGTCTGCCTAATAAAAACAAAACCCGATTAGTATTAGATTACATAATCATCTCTTTTAAACCTTGTAATAACTATTAAAAATCAAATTGTATTTATTATTATAGTTCAGGGGAAATAAAAATAATAATTTAGAACCATATTCAAGGAGTGTCATATGTTCCCCATTAGAAGTATATTACAATTCACTTAAAAAAGGTGTGTTAAGGTTCTTAACACACCTTTTTAATATCCTTAACTTAAGGATATAAAAAATAAAACACAAATTTTATGAACGTTTTTAATCGATCAACTCTCCATCACTGTCTCGATTTGATTCATACATTTTATCACAGGATTAAACATATATAAATCTTACCACGAATCAAATCAAGTATTATTACAAAAATATAAAAAGTGTCACTAACAATAGCTGAACTATATTTTACAGCGCAAAAAAAACAAATGGGTCATACTTGAATCTTAACATTAACATACAACACAATATCATGTACTTCCATAGACAACACTACGATAATATGAAGCAAATTAACCGTTCCATAAGCTCTTTTTCTTAAAAAATTAGATTAATATAATATTTGTCAGTAGCCTTGGAATTAGGTGCCAAAAAAAGGAAAAAATCATATAAAAGAAATTAAAACAAAAATTGGTCACATACAAGTACGAAACGTAGAGTACGTGAGCCGCCTAATATGCTTACATCTATTTAATAACAAACTTAACCTAACCAAATACTTAATGATATGGACAAATGCTCCAGCAAAGGTCAGCGTTTACGAGAACGAGGTAGACTAGCGTTAATAAATACAATGATCTCACTTGCGGCAATATCTGCAGAACTCACTCGATACGGCCCAGAGGTTATATTTTATACCTAAATCATGTTATAGAAAGGTGTTGCGGTATTTAAGAAACATTAGCACAGCTGACGAGTACGCGTACGCGATATTGTCAATAATCAAACACCTTTCTGTAACACATCAAATACATAGTCAATGAAAAATATGATTTCTTCGCATTGTTTCGATTCGTTGTTGTATTTTAGCTGCAATTAAAGTATCTAGTGGGAATGAGATTCTACATTCGATGGCTTTAAACGCCAACTTATGTTTACAATTCGCACACGAGCCCACTTCAGGCTATTGTTTTCTTTTACCCAAAATATATGTATTCGTATATTACTAAATATTAAATACGCTAATCGTATCTAATTTATATCGACGTGATCACACGAGGCAGTAAAGAATCAGAAGGAACGGAAACCGGGCGGCGGAAGTATTCGAACGGGGGGATGCACCTGCAGCTGGAGCCTCGGCTGGGGATACGCGTGAGGGGGCGGGGGTGCACGCGCCGGGGGCGGCATAGGGCAGTGCGGGGGGGCACCGTAGGAGGCGACGGCGGTGGCTCGGCCCATGGCACCCACTATGAACCAGTGCGCCGCCGCCGGGTTCACGTGGCTCAAGGCGCGATAGGTTTCGCACTCGCCCAAGCTTAAGGTGACGCCGGGGGGCCGCAGAGGCATCACGGGGCTTCCGTACGGCGGGGGGCAGGGGGGGTACGGGCCGCGGTACGGCGCGCCGGGCACGTACGCGGGCGCGTACGGCGACAGGTACGACGTCGGAGTCGGGAGCAGAGCCGGCGCAGGCCGCTCGGTGGGGCGAGGCGGTGACGAGGGCGAGGCCGTTTCGGTCTGCAAAGATTGCGATTTGAGAGACTCCGGAAGAAGCGACGGAATTGTTACAGGAACACCGGACTCGGACGTCGATTCGGTGTCGTCGGTGGAGGCGCAGGTCTCGGAAGAAGTCGGAGAACGGTCGAGGGCTTTCGTGATAGATTCACACGAGTCGGGTGATTCGCTCCTAGGGGGCGAGCGGGGCGAGTCGGGGTCGGGGGTCGGGAGGAGCCGGTCGGGGTGCGGCGGCAGCGGCACGTGGTCGCGGTACTCGGGCACGTAGTCGAGCGCGATGCCGTCGCGGAGGTAGGCGTGGACTTCGGCGTAGTTGGGCGTGGCGCCGCTCTCCAGCGCCTCGAACCTCGGGAACAGGTACACTTCCAGGGTCTGCAACATGCGACACGGTTAGAGGGGCCCCTCCCAGAGGTTCGAGGCGCGGTCGCTCAATAAAAACAGAATCGCGTATATAAATTGTTATTATTAACGTAATGTTTTTAATAACGGCACTTTCAAAATTACACAAAAAAAGAAAAATAATATTATCATACATACAGTTAATATGAAAGAATAGAAAATTATAAATGATCAGTTAAAATCTCGGACTGACCGACGATAGCCAATCGCAGTTAGACGTATGCGACCCGCGCCTGCACTTACGTCTACTTTAACTTGGAATATCTGCCTAATTTTTTTTTTTTTTATTATAATCCTTGAAAAGGCTGAATGGCAGGAAGGCGGCTAAGCCTGTTGATGGCACTCAGGCACTGCTTAGGTGGCGCTACAATACAGGTGGCAAACTGTATACATTTTATACATCTGCCTACCCCTTAGGATTTATAAACGTGAGTCTCTATACAGTTAATGATTCAGCAAACTACAATAAATATACTAAAACTATTTTTGTTATGTTTAAGATAAAAGCCGTGTGGTGTCGTGGGACACCCGATAAGTTGTGACGATCGAGTAAAACTGATTCGACACGATTTTAATTACAACGCCATCTATGAAAGCGGCTATTACCTACATATTTTTCAGTTGGTTTCTAATTAAAACAATTTATGCATTGATAAAATCTCCTTGAGAAATGATTTCCTATCTATTCGATAAATGGCGCTGAATGACTGACAAGTGACAATTCAAAATAAATACTGAGATAAGTAATGATTTCCTATATATTCGATAGATGGCGCTGAATGACTGACATAAAAAGTATCGTTACAACTTTTCGTGGGATTTTTTTCCGTCTAGCCCCCTTTCACATCGCGCGATAAGGAACTTCGTTCCAATAAGATTCCAAACAATCCGCATAAAACACATTTCCATCTTCCGAACCCCGTATGGGAAACAGATTTGTCATTGCCCTAGTATGAGAAAACTCAATATGTCGAAAAGCCACTTCTCGTGAACGCCTCGCCACACCGGAGACTACCGCCCATAGTGGGCCTCTTTGTCGGTCAGAAGTTGCCAAGTTATGTGAGGTTCCTAGGTAGTTCATTTCTAGGTTACGGCCAGATCTGGGGGTGCTGCAATTTGATAATATTTACTCCCAGCTCCTTTAGGTCTGGCCCGAATATATTATTATATTATATTATACATTTTACGGATACATTACATATTAAAAATAGGTAAGTTTAAGTCTCTATTCTAACATTAAATATTTTTAATGATATGACATACGCGGTTTTTTCGGATAAAGTCTAATTTCTGCCATGCAGCACAGTTTTCAAGTACTGTTACTCAAAATGGCGTCATTCACTTATGTATATACATTTGTAGTTCACACTTCCGTGTAGTGACGGATTAAGAATACGGAATGTCACTACCCCAATTCATCCCGTGGGTGTCGTAAGAGCCGACTGAGGGCGCAAAATAACGCAGGACACCAGCACTGCAAAAAGAAGGAAAACTTGACACAAACCCTATACCAACCCGTCTGGCCAGCGTGGTATAGTAGGCCAAAACCTCCTTTCTAAGGGGAGGCCTATGTCCAGCAGTGGACTATTAAAGGCTGTTGATGTGATGATGTGATATACATTTGTGTTTTTATATATACGGTGATTTTGAAAGCGTTTTGGAAAAGAAAATTATGAATTATTTATCAGTAACAGAAGCTATATATAACGTTAATTTAATAAAAAATATATATTTTTTATCATCAAAGTCGATATTCATATCGTTTACAGAGAAAAAGTGAGAAACAGTAGTAGGGCTATTCAATCACACGTAGGTAAATACTACGAATAGAAAAACTATGCGTTTTAATATCGAGTCACATAAAATCGTATTCGCCAATAAAAACAAAGCTACCGAGTTGCGCCGGAGTCGTCCAACCAATGACGTCTGCCCCGTAGGCGCATGCGCGGGACTCACCTGTAATCGTGAGGCGTCCTTCGCTCTCAGTCGGTCGGTAATACCATAACATCGTGACGGCACGCTACATTGATTAGCGCTAAAATGAGTCGACAGTACGAATTTTCAAAGGTAGAATACTTCTTGGCAATGGTACAGCTGTACGCTACTGCCAGCTACAACTTGGAAGAGCACTCATGCGCAAGGTCAAGGACATTTAAATAATATTCGCCGGAGTGTAGTGCGTGCATACCTGGACAATGAGTTTAGTGATCGGTGGTAGGTCGAGGAGGGCCAGTGCCTTGGCCACCTAGAAGCCCGGACTTAACGGCCCTTTATTTTTTTCTTATGGTCGGAAATAAAAATACTTGTTTGATTTGTTGTGCACAGAACAATCGTGGTTAATAATCGAAAAGAAGTTTAAATAAAATAGGTATTTCCGACGGTCCTAAGCCCGTGTAAAGTATGAAGAACAAATTGGAGTCTATCTACGTAAGTACTCGCTAGCTCGCGCCTATAGGTATACTTTTATCAGCTGCTGTTAGCGTCGGCGGTGCGCAGCGGCCGCCGAAACGCCCACGGACGTGTTTCATTCATATAAGATAATGAATGAATGATCAGTCCATTACTACTTTCCAAGTCGATCGAGTAAAAATGAATATTAAAACTGAAACTTTTTTTTAGACAACATTACAATTGATTTAATCATTTTTATTGGTACTATAGATGATTCTAAATTAAAATGTTTCGTTTCCAAAACGCCTATAAAATCACCGTGTATATATTTTTTTTATGGTATTAACGAACGCAAACGGGGGTCAACTGATGGTAAGCAATTACCGCCGCCCATAGACACCTGTAACTCAAAAGTCACAAGGAGTCCCTCCCGCTTGAGTCAAGGGGAGGGGGGATTTGGGCTCCGGTAACCTCACTCACTCAGTGAAAGGCAACGAAAGACACCGGTTTTCTGTGAGGCCGTGGTATCACTCCGGTCGAGCCGGCCCATTCGTGCCGAAGCGTGGCTCTCCCACGGTGAAATTATATATTTGATGAAAATTTATGTCGAGAGATGGTTTAGTCGAGTTGTATAATTTAGAACAAAATGGTCACTCTCCAGTGGTGTATACAAAATAATATCATAAACAAATTTCATACAATGAAACAGTCTTCTTTAGAAAAAGTTTTTTTTCTATAAAGGGAAATATCTGTACACAGGATTTTACGTCTAAAGATAGGTAAAAAGTACGTTTTAAGGTAACCTAGATACTTCACTAAGAGTAGAACGTTATCGAGACACGCATAACATAAATACTCCGATCGGCGTGCATGCAACGCGAACAGATAATTAATTAATAATATTTGTGTCGACTGTAGGCCCACGCGATCCGCGAGCGAGAGCTAGTTGCGGCAGTTCGCGGGTTCGCGATACTTTTTGTACAGCTCTAGTCGACGGCGAAGGAGGGAGCTGGTGACGAGCGGGGCGGCGTCCCACGTGCGCAGGCGCCGCGGCCCCCGGCCCTGCAGCTCCGAGGCCGAGGCCGACACGTCACTGGAGGTGGAGGGGGGCGAGCTACTCACGTGCAGCGCGGAGTCGTGGCGCGCGTCGGCGTGGCCGGCGCGGATCAGCTCCGTGCCGATGCACACGTCCTCGTCGCTCGCCGTGTCGATCAGCAGCACCTCGGCGACGTTATCCCTGCCGTCGACGGCGACGACGTTGGCCACGAGGCGGCGGTCGGTGACGAGCGCGAGGAAGGCGGTGGCGGCGGCGTGGGGCCAGCGCCAGCCCGCGGCGGAGGGCCGCACGGCCGCCAGGCGCGCGCGGCAGGCCTGCGCCGGCAGCGCCGCCCACGAGCGCTTCAGCGGCTTCAGCTCCGACACCGCCAGCGTGTCCACGGTGCCGTAGTCGATGTGCCGCACCTGAGTACGCCCGCCCCTTACTTTTATTCTCTTCGCTTCTATACTACTTTTTTTTTTTCTATGATTTATACTTCACGCAATAAAAATATATAATATGTCAAGATTTTTTTAATAAGTAAACGAATCGATCGTTCACTAGGTACTTAAAGTTTGATTTAGAAAAAAACAAGCCAATGCAAAAACCAACAATACACAATCTAAAACGATATAACGACGCTGGGCAAACCCAATATCGGGCCGAACTAGTTTGTTTAAGCCGAACCAGTTTATTGATTAGATTTTCTAGGCGTCACTAGTATATCTTGACATGCACGATGTAGGATAAATCGGTTTGGCCTAGAACAAATTTAGTCTGATACGAAATCGAGTTTGACTTTTGACAAGTATTGTGTGATAGATAAACTGCCGATAAAAAACTTTAAGATATTTTAAATTCGCTACTTTAAGTAATTTTAAATATACGCTATGATGGCTGTTTTGACACATTAAAATACAGCAATTTGACGGAGGTCAATATAGGTATTCATAAAATACGAAACTTGACGAATCCAATAATATATCTCACACACGGCCGTCTGATCCCAAACTAGGCAGAGCCTGTGTTATGGTAACCAGCCTGCTGATAAACATCCTTATATATTTTTAAATAGATACATATTATAGATAAATTACGCCCAGACACAGAAATGACCGTGCTCATCACACAATATTTGTCCTGGGTGGGAATCGAACCCACGATCTCCGGTTTAGCAGTCAGGGTCATTAACCACTACACCAAAAGGCCCTTCAAAAAATCTCATATTGCTGTACCTAAAGCAAAACAATGTTTTATTCCTTTACAGTATGCTTTAAATATGTATTTCGGAAAGTGTTGCTATTAAGTTAGACTCACCTTAACAGTGTCGCTGTCGATAATCTTAACTATAAGCGAGCGATGCCAGTCTCCTTCATAGACGGAGGCGCAGTAGTGGCCCAGCCGCACAGCGCCTCGCGCCAGAACTCGGTTCCGACCCTCGTTCCTGTAATACTGCCTGACAAACCAAACGTACAATTACTGTAGATTACAACAAAACATCCCGTGGGTGTCGTAAGAGCCGACTAAGGGAGCAAACTAAGCAGGACAACAGCACTGCAAAGAGAAGGAAAACTTGAAACAAACCCTATACCAACCCGTCTGGCCAGCGTGGTATAGTAGGCCAAAACCTCCTTTCTAAGGAGAGGCCTATGTCCAGCAGTGGACTAGTATAGGCTGTTGATGATTGATGTCAACAAAAACATTGGTCTAAGAAACAATCTAATATTATCATAATAACAAATCACTTGACAAAGAAATGACACATACACAGTAAATGAAGTAAATGTAACAGGATTTTTATATAATAACTATTTGCTCCGACAGACTTCGTTCTGTCAAATCTTCAATATCATTCTTCAAAAGTAAAAAGTATTTCAATGGCCATGGACGTATAAAAAAGTCGGACAGTCTCGCTAACAAAAAACCGTGTCACTCATAGTCTGCCAGCTCGCTATCCGTACACTTACACACATTACTCGGCCATTACGCTCACAAACATCAAGACAGCGAGACGCATTACGTTGCGAAAACATATAAATATACAACACGTTTTGCGTAGTGAAATGCTGTAAAAACCTTACTGTCCGAAAGACAAATAGTTCAATAATCACGTTTCATAGGTAAATAAATAATTCAAAATAAATAAAATTAATTATATTTACGAAAAATTCACAAAACATAATTAATTTTAAGGTGTGCCAATTAGCCGAAACAAAGGAAATTTTTGGTTGTTATTAAAGTTATTTATTTAATAGTTACTACTAGGTATACTATTTCATATTCTTTTACAAAATTTTCTAAGGGAAGTAGAGTAAGGAGAAATGTTTGGATTCAAATAATTAGAAATTGTAATGGTCAAAATATATTCTCACAAAATTCTAGAAAAGTTTGTTGGCAATGAAAGCATTTTTTAAAGTTAGAATCTGAACACACATGCGTCGGAATAGAACACAAAATATGTAGCAGAAAAATTGTTAACGATTCGGTTTTACTGAAACCTCGAAATTAAAGAAAATTTCAAGAACCTCTCAAAGTAAAAGACATTATTATAATAAAAATGGCTCAGCATTTAGGACATTAAAAAATAAAATATTTTTATTTATTGTCTTTTTTTAGAGCATAACCATTCTCACATACAGAGTTGCCGCCATTACGGTGCCTCAATTTTGTGTTAGCGAGAGGCCCGTCCGACTTTTTTTATACGTCCATGATGGTAGGCATAGATTAATATCCATACAGCCTAATCAACTTGAAGGCATACCAAAGATTATCCTAGCGCGCCTTTTTCAGATGTTTGACAGCTAAGGACAGATGTTTTAATTTACTCTATGGTTTGAATGGAAAAAGAAACGTGTTGTCTATACTATTTTTCTCGCAATTTTTACGTTTTTCTCTTCATAAGATCTTTTCTTGTGTCTTAACGAAAATATGAAAAAAAAATAGCCGAATTGGTTGGTCAAGCCGTTTTCGAGTCTTGCGCTTAACAACACATTTGGCTCTTCATAAATAAAACTATGTATATCTGAAAACTCTTACAAGACTCAATAAGTTCTAAGAAGAAGACAGTACTGTCATAAGATGATATTGAAGGTCGCATATATTTATGCACTGGCCTGTGTGGATAATCTTATTGACACATGCCTGTCACCTATTTAAAATAAACTTAGTTAGGATATTGTTTATGTTCTTTACATTGTCACTTGTGTGTAAAATATTGACCACGAATGACCACTGTTGCTCTTATTATTGATATGTTTATGCTTACGTCATTTCGTCCATCATATCCTCCATGGCCATGTTGTAATTTTCCCCGAGCCGAAGGAACCAGAAGTGCGAGGGGGAGTACACCTCGCCTATCATCACTTCAACCATCGCTCCGGGCCGGAAGTCGCTCACGCTTGTCGACTCGATACTCTCCATGAAGTGCATGCAGTCCTCGGGGAACACATCAGGGTCCTGACAATATTTAAATTATTTTATAACTTGTTGTTGACATAATACAATTATTGATTGTTTTATAAATATAATAACAATAAAAAGCATGTTTTGTAGCTGTAGTTGTTTCCGTAATCAGCACCTCAAAAAACTCATAGTGATGTGTGAGTTGAATGTGTTAAAAAGATGCGGTATTTTATGTCAGGCGTAGCGACTAAGGGGTGAAGAGGGTGGACTATCGTACATTTGATATTAAATTCGTAATCAGTAATCCATAAACCTAATATCCACTTGCCATATCCACTTGCCATAGATGGCCCGAGGTACGTCGGGTTACCAGGGGATTTCCTTTTTAGGGTACACCTGGTTCCCCGGCTACTAGTACCGAGACGGCGTGCGGTTTTTGGTCAGTTCGAGTCCGACATAACCACCGGCGGGTAGTATGAGGGGATTTCCGCACAGGAAAAAAAATGCGTCGTCGTGGTGACAGGTTAAGAATACGGAGTGTCATTACCGCTATTCATCCTTTGGGTGTCCTAAGAGTCGACTAAGGGAGCAAACTACGCAGGACAACAGCACTGCAAAGAGAAGAAGAACTTGGAAACAAACCCTATAATAACCAGTCTGGCCAGCGTGGTGTAGTAGGCCAAATCTCTAAGGAATGGTCTAGCAATGGCTCATTAAAGGTGGTCGATGATGATACACTACAGACTTGTAACAGATTGTAATGTCATCGTACACGTCGTAACTAAAAATTTTAAAGTTTGAACAACTTTAATATTTTTGTAAAATATTAAAGTTGTTCAAACTTTAAAATTTGAATAGTACAATATACAATAAAAACGTGAATAGTACATTTTTATAGCGCACGATTAATTTTAATTTATGAAATGAACGGACAGAAAGACAACGAAGAAAAGAATCTCTGAGGATTATTTTTTGAAAGAAAGAAGCCTAAGAAAAATATAGGAAGGTGGTAATTTTAAGAATAAATTATTTTTTTACATTTAAACTATCAGTATACTCGACTACAGGTTTAGCGGTGAATTACAAAATGTACATTATAAGAAACGCTGCAGCGAGTACTGCTCAGTCCGTGACTCACAAAGTCAATCCCGGGTAAGGCGTCGTCCGAGTGGTCGGCGCGCGGCGCGGGCGCAGTGCGGCGGCGCACGCGCAGCGCGCCCGGCGCCGGGGTGGCGCGCCGCCGCTCCTGCAGCAGCCAGTCGCCCGTGTCGTCTGGCCGCGTTATCAGCACGTGCCGCTCCAGGCTGTACACCAGGCTGAGGATGCTCGTGTAGCCGAACCGGCTGAAGTTTAGCTCTCGGTCGTAGCGCTCTCTGTCAAACGGTTCATGACGTGAGAAAGCCGTGCAGTTTTTTTTTTAGAGATCGCTAGGTCACGTCAGGAACTCTACAAACATATATGAAACGGACACAACTACTACTAACTAACTAACGGATTTGTGGATCACACGGTGTCGTCCCATATGAGGATCGAACCCACAACGCTCAGCGTAATAGAAGGCGGCGTAGCAAAATTCTTGCGTTCATTTTGTATCAAATCACAGATTTTTTTTTCGGCACTGCGGGTAGTCATATATAGATCCCATGTGTTACAGAATTTTGCGAAATAAAACGCGCGGTAAAATATCGCTATGCGGTCGGGGCCTTAACCACTGCGCCATCCGTACAGTCCAGTTTTTGTTTCTTTAAACGCAATAACCCCCGAAACTATCGTCAAATTTCGATAAGTCTCTTTGAATTACAGATTTATTGAGGAAGATCATACGTCATCAAAAATCACGTTACGATTCTTACTGAGTGACTTTCTGAGTGACCATCATCACGCGTAAAATTGGTTCTGTTTTGTCTGCCGACAGCTGTTATGCGAAGCAATACTTTATTTTCAGTTTTTAAAAGATCTTCTTTTTAACTTAAATTAATTAATACATACTTGTACAGTTTAAGAAGATCAGTGCACCACACCCCATCCGGTGCATCAGTAATCAGTACCATTAACTCTTGTTTTAGCCGCTCCAATTGTTGTGCCTTTGCACTACTACCACCTGTAATAAAAAAATTACTGTTATCAATACTTATAATAAAAATAAGCAACTGCCCCTTAATAAGTTATTACAAACGGAATATTTCATCATTACATCAACAGCCTTTAATAGTCCACTGCTGGACATAGGCCTCCCCCTAGAAAGGAGATTTTGGCCTACTATACCACGCTGGAAAAGCGGGTTGGTATAGGGTTTGTGTCAAGTTTTCCTTCTTTTTGCAGCGCTGGTATACATACAGTCACATATATCCACAAAGGATGAACACATTTTACTAAGTAAGTATAATATCCCACTTACTTAATAGGGGTAAGCCTGTTCATCGCACAATTGTTGCCCTGGGTGGCCAATCAAACCTTCAACCTTTGACTTAAACCATGAGGGTCACTAACCACTTGTGATGAAATAAGTAGTCTTCCCACTAATATTTAATTGTGAATTATTAATTGGCAGTTAGCAAAATTAATTGCATTCGTGAAATTTCGAATCATCAACGCGAAGACTAAATTGCACGGGCCGTACTGTTGATAATAAATTTTATTTCAAAGGAGTTTGTGCTCTACACTCGTTTGAGCATGGTAATCGTGTTTCTGAATATATTTAATTCATAACTTATGTATATGGCTACTTTTTATAATGAATATCATATAAAACCTTTTTTTTTAAAGACAACTCCTGTCTAGGAACATATTCTTGTTGTGGAGGACTGTATAAACATATATGAAATGGACACAAAGAACACTCAGATTGAGAACAACATTTTATGGTTCACACAGTGTTGTCCCATGCAGGGATGGAATCCACAACACTCAGTGCAGTATTAGGCGGCGTGGCGACCGTTTAAACTACTATACATCCATCCGTGCAGTCACATTAAGTGTATACAAATTATATTTACTTATATTATACATGAAATAAACATAATGACAGATCAAATTTATATACTTACTAGATGATGTATATTGCCCAGAAGTGTCATCATGTAGTGTCTTGCTGCACTGCTCTGCCGATTCTTCATGTAAATATTGTTCACTCTGATATAAAGGTAACCTTTTTTTTAAAAACTTCTTTACAGCATCTGTACTGTTAATAGGTATATCCTCTGTTTTACTGTCAGTTTTGTCCTTGTCTTCTAGAACTTCTTGACTATTCACCGTATTTGTGTCCCCATTATGCTTAGTTTGATCTGTATGAGGTACATTGTTTACCGACTTAAATGACTTAGTTCCATTATGTTTGCTACACTGTATATTTAGTTTGCTGCCAGACGCAAAAGATTTACTAGCAGGTATACTCGGTTTGCAGGCCGATACATGATCTTCAGTAGGAGTAGGAGGTATACTCGGTTTGCTGACTGATATGTGAGATTTTACAGGGCATATTTGTTGGCTGGAAGATTTTTCATGTGATTCCTTTGACAGTTCTATTGGTTGTGATAATATATGCTTTTTGTTTTTTGTTTTAGATAAAGGTTTGTTCTGACTTGTGTTTACTAATTCCTCTGGTACACTTCTTCTTTTTGGATTACTGTTGACATCCGACAAAGAAAATGTTTAGATTTTAAAAGTTTAAACGTTTGCCAACTAGAATTTTTAATCCCACTTATGTATTAGGTGCAACAAACATACTTAGATATTTCTAAACAAATACATATTATAGATAAATCATACCCAGATAAAACAAATGATCATACACCTCACACAATATTTGTAGTGGGGGAACCCAAGACTTCTAGCTTACACCAACAAGACAGTCATCATCAATCATCATCATCAACAGCATATACTAGTCCACTGCTGGACATAGGCCTCTCCTTAGAAAGGAGGTTTTGGCCTACTATACCATGCTGGCCAGACGGGTTGGTATAGGGTTTGTTTCAAGTTTTCCTTCTCTTTGCAGTGCTGTTGTCCTGCTTGGTTTGCTCCCTTAGTCGGGTCTTACGACACCCACGGGATGAATCGGGGTGGTGACAATTTGTATTCTTCAACAGTTCTTCAACAATTCTTGACAAGACAGTCAAGCTTTAAAGATTTGGTCAATGCAAAATAACATTTTTAATTTGTCAATTAATTCCTTTATACAGACTTTGTAACAAATAACATACAAGAAAGTTAATTCAAACAATATTTTATTGTATTATCGACCAAGAAATTGGTTTACCACTCTAAGGCTGAATATCATTTGCACGTACAAAACATCAAGGGCTATTTTCGCTTGACAGATTAATAACTGCCACATCAGAATCAGAAGAATGACAATTCCTGTTTAATTAAACTCAGAACTGATGGCTTGCAATTTAACCTTCTGCTACTTTACGTGCAATAAAACGTTTTGTTTAGTTGCGACGTAAAATAATTGAATTTTGAATCCAGGGAGTTAAACTTTATTATATATGTTTTTAATAGATTTAAAAACGTCCCATTTCCTGCTAGTAGCGTAAAGGGTTTTAGGATTAATAACAAACAATGATTTATCATTTAAATAACAAATTTATTGTCCCTCATAAAACTTAACAGTATCAGTTAATTGTAAAAAAAATATATAGGGAAATATCAGCCTAATAACGCGTGTTTCCACCATTAGCTTCGGTGACTGCTAACAAGCGACTTCTCATAGAGTCCAACGAGGCATGAACAAATGTCTGTCCCACGCAAAGCCTCCCAAACTTCATGGCAATGACTATCGATGGCATCTCGAGTTCTCTCATTGCGGTGATGCCATCGCTGCACCATAAGTCCCCAAAGGTTTTCGATCGGGTTAAGATCTGGACTTTTAGACGGCCATGGAATCAAGTTAATGAATGAATGTTGATCAAACCAGGTACGAGTCACTCTAGCTGTGTGTAATCTGCAGTTGTCTTGTAGAAAATTAAATTGAGGCAGATCGCTTTCCGGGTAGACGTTCCGGACGGTTGGCAACATAGCATTTTCTAAATTATCCACATAATCTAAAGCGTTGGATTTCGGAGGTAGTCTGCTTAATTCTCCGACTCCATCTGCCGACATCCAGCCCCAAATATTTACACTGATTCTACCAGACTCCGTGGTCGGCACAACATGTTCTTGAGTGTATCTAGTATTATTGTAACGCCAGAGAGTCATTCGACCATGTTGGCTAGATTTCAACGTTTTTTCGTCCGTAAATATCGTAGTAGACCAATCGAAATTCAAGTACTCCCGGGCAAAATTTAAACGAGCCGCTTTGTTAGCGTCGGTCAAATAAACTTTTTTAGCGTGACGTCTGTAATGCAATCCCATACTATGCAAATGCTGCCGAATGGTCTCTTCCGTAACATCGAATTCTTCTGCAAAATCGCTGGTAGAAGTGAAGCCGTTCTCTTCGTACTGACTTCTCATTGTTTCTCTTTGCTCGCTGGACAGTGCAGGCGGCCGACCACTTCGCCTATGATCTTGAAGATTACCTTCTTCCCCTTCACGTCTTATCCAAAAACGTGTCGTATATCGCGATATGTTCAGTTCTCTAGAAATATCACTTATGTTGTATCCTAACCGATGTAATGATATAATTTCGGCTCTTTCCTGTAAGTTTAAATTACGCGACATTTTCTTGACAGTAAGTGACTCGATTTGATCAATAACTGACACTTGACAGATCATAAGTCAAAAGCGATTCGAAAATGAATTAGTTTTTTTTAAGTATCTAATCTAATCTAGCATAAACCTCCTTGATTTATAAGGACAAGTTGGTTTGTGTTTACATAAAATATTCTCTATTGCATTGACATCACAGTTCAAGTTGCATGCTCTTTTAACCATTGCTCTGTGATTGGCTCACAGTTAACCAATTACGTTAATGTAATACAGTAATCCTTAGCGAATAATTATGTTACTGGGAGATGTCATCAAAAGTGGTAAACCAATTTCTTGGTCACCTATACATCACAGCTAAGAATGTACTTTTTATGAACACAGAATGTTTGTTCTTGTTTTGTTCAGACTATTTAACTTAAGGTGTGGAGGCCATGTAAATAATAATCTGTAATATATCAACATGTTTTGCTGACTTATAGTTAAACCGCCGTAAGCTTGGCCCTCCTGATGGTTTGCGGGACGCGGGGCGGGTGATGCACTCGGCTATACATGACACGATGTACTAACTCGATATATTCAGATTTATTTGTTTGAGATTTAATCTACACACGATGTAATAAAAATCGAATTTATTTCCATGTATTATAATGTCAGTGTATTGTAAGTTTTTATGATTAATTGTAAAATTTAATAACGTAAAATAATTTTAATAAAATCACCTTATCTTCATCATGTAAATTATATTCAGATACAATTTAAAAATTAAGTAAAATAATAATTATTCTTTATTAGAACTTTAACAGTAGAACCTCTGTAAGCCGAACTTCAAGTTTTTAAATCTTTTTGTGACGCAGAGTCGGCAGATTATCTATGTTGCAAAATAATACCGTGAGTAGCAGTCTTAAGAAAAATAACATGTACACCCATGCTTTCACGTCAGTCACTGCCGGCGGACAGCGACACACTAGCTAATTGGTTGAATGCACCCCCGCCCTGCATCCCGCAAACCATCAGGAGGGTCAAGCTTATGGCGGTTTAACTATAGGTAATTGCTTTAATTCCTTAGATATGGTCCTCCATAAATCCCAAAGGCAGTTGAGTTCAACCATATAACTACTATTACACTTAAGATAATATCAAATTGTACTTACAATTTGCTGGTACTGGATGATTTCTGCTTTTGCACAAACTTGTCTATATGTTTCAATGTTTCAGGGACTATCAGTGTTAATACAGGATTGGAAGTTGGTCCACTAAACTGTAAGCAATAACGGCACTTGTTAATTTTATATATATTTTATTCGTACTTGATAAACCAACAGTTTTTATTGAATAAAGAAATTACCAAAAAACAGTCACTGAATCTCTCTTTAAAAAAGTCTACGGGGTTATTATATCCATACTTGCGGAGTGGCACTGTTGAACCGATCATATTTCGGTAATCACGCAGAAGCGAACGAACGTCTACCTGCGTCGGGCTGGAGACCACTAACGACCTAAGCACAGATTTTAGTTGCCCAATTTCTTCTTCCATTATCACGAGTTAGAAGTCTATTACTTGTAAAAGATTAAACGCTAAGCTTGGTCAATATCACCGTTTTGCTAAATCAATTGAACTTTTTTAAAAACATTTTGACAAATTAAATACCACGAAATTTAAGTTGTACAAAATAATTTAAATTCGAACAAAATTACACGTGTTATTTAATTGTTTCATAAAAAATGAATGTACATTAACATGTAAACTGTTATCTAAATGTGCACAACAATATTTGCTCACATAAACACTTTAAACTTAAGATAGGCAATGCAGAACACTGGTAAGTGGTAAATACTGTTGTATTGTACTGACACACAACAAAAGTCAAAACACAATGACGTATTGTTAAGCCGGGTCTCATTTCAACGAAAGAAAAGTTGCCAGCGCGTGTTTGCAACAAATATTTCTAAAAATTATGTCGTGTAAAGTTGGGTGTACACGAAACAAAAGTCGCCAATATTTATGTCCGCAATCCGTGTTCGAAACAAAGATTTCTCATTTCTTCGTGTTGGCAAGCAAACAAATGTTGAGATTTAGTGTTTACGCGGTAAACACTTGTTGACAACATTTGTTTGAACTAAACATGACTGGACTGGCAGTCCAGTCCTGACTTAATTGATTTACGACACACCGAGACACCGGGACCAAAATAGAAAAATAAAACAAAAATTGAATTATTTTTTAAAAAAAATGTTAAAGTTTGCTTTGTATCGATTTGGTGGAGGGAGTCACAAAGTCATAAACTTTTTGCAAAGTAGTGAAGCAGGTCTAAAAACATAAATTTAAAACATTTTTGGTGGGTACCCACCTTTATAAATACTGGCTTTCTTGTTAAAATTGTGAATATTGTTACTTCCTTCTTTAAGGTTAAATCCCACTAGACCATTCATTACTAAAAAATGTAAAAACCACGTATCAGAACGATATAGGGTATCCTCTTTTACTTAGAGTACAGGAGAACACGCAAGTAGCTTTACGCTCTACTTTAAACTCTTTACAGGAGTGTATTATGCTTTTGCCTCCTAAACCTATACCATAAGGTAATTAAGAAATATGTATTTGATATCAAATCAGTTCCTTATTAATATAAAAATCTGTCTAAACTAAAACAATCGGTTTAACAAAATGTAACTTTTTTATACCGGAACGCTCCCTTTCTTAACGCTTGACACTTCACATTTGACATACGATTGACATATCGTGGCTCTTGTTTTGATGGAGTGGAGTGAGGTTGTTAAAATCCAATCGAATTACGTAAGGTTATTGTTAATTTATTTGATTTTGGCATTACCAGAATGTCGTACCTCTTGAAACGCGCCCTTGGTGCAGGGTGCTCAATGGGGCGTAATGTTTTAAACAACGCGAAGAGCCCGATGATCCAGCGAATCGTAACAAAAACCGAACAAGCCGCTCCCCAAGAGGAAACTCGTCCGACTGTTGCTAAAGTGGACCCTCTGCAGAAGTCCCAGCTCGTAGATTTCGGTAAATACGTTGCCGAATGTATGCCTAAATATGTTCAAAAGGTGCAGCTAACTGCTGGAAACGAGCTGGAAGTGCTTGTGCCCCCAGAGGGAGTCTTACCCGTGTTACAGTTTTTGAAAGATCATCACACCGCACAATTTACCAATCTGGTCGATATTGCGGGAATGGATGTTCCGAACCGCCAATACAGGTTTGAGATCATTTACAATTTGTTGTCCCTGCGTTACAACTCAAGGATTCGTGTAAAGACGTATACCGACGAGCTCACGCCTATCGAATCTGCTAACGATGTGTTTAAAGCGGCTAATTGGTACGAAAGAGAAATCTGGGATATGTTTGGTGTGTTCTTTGCTAACCATCCTGATTTGAGAAGAATCTTGACTGACTATGGCTTTGAGGGACATCCCTTCAGGAAGGACTTCCCTCTCAGTGGATATGTAGAGGTACGTTACGACGATGAGCAGAAGCGTGTGGTAGTGGAGCCTCTGGAGTTAGCTCAGGAGTTCCGCCGCTTCGAGCTCAGTGCTCCGTGGGAACAGTTCCCCAACTTCCGTAGCAATCCAGCCTCGGAGGAAATTATTAATCCTGGAGATGACAAAACAAAACAGTAAAATATTTCATTTGTTAGTATATTGAAAGTGATGTAAATAAACAGAAAGAAGGAAAATGGTTTTATTATTAAAAAACAAAACAAATCAATATTTGTAGTTTTTGTTAGCTTAATTGCTCTGAAATCTCTGCCTGTACATTATTTTCTAGAATATTGTCACAGCAGATATGTTTAATCTATTTGTTAGCTTGTAAAGCATTTAAGAATTATGTTTAATAAATTTAGATGTGAATGTAAACCTCACTTATTATTTACATTATCAAGAAACTCATCCTTATTGGATCATAGTTGCTGATATTAATTTATAACATTCATTTGTTAAATCCTATTAGTTTTCACATACAGTTTTGATCGCAGCTCATTGATTTAAAAGTGATTTATAGAAAGTAGTGTAGTGTAGTGACTGATTAAGAATACGGAATGTCACTACCCCAATTCATCCCGTGGGTGTCGTAAGACGACTAAGGGCGCAAAACAATGCAGGACACCAGCACTGCAAAAAGAAGGAAAACTTGACACAAACCCTATACCAACCCGTCTGGCCAGCGTGGTATAGTAGGCCAAAACCTCCTTTCTGAGGAGAGGCCTATGTCCAGCAGTGGACTATTAAAAGCTGTTGATGATGATGATGATGATGAATGTTAAATATCCTATCGTCAACTACCAACACTTAAAATTGTAACCAAAAAAAATTTTTTCATATTTTATTGACAGATATTGGTAACAGTAAATCCATTATAATTTTTTTTAACGCTTTTTTAAGATAAAATGTTTTTTTCTTAATCACTATTTTTCTTTTTGAACTTATAGAAAATTATTTTCCTCTTTTTAGTTCAGCTATTTACAAAAGCGTGCTTAAGTTTTTTTAAATATTATGAATATTTTCGTTTTAACCTTCAATTATTTCATCATTAAAGATTAAAAAGTAAGTCACATATTATGCTTCACCTCACGCCTTAATACGTGGCCCAAGACACTGCCGCATTTTTAGATATGGATCAGAATAATCAGACAAACTTATAAAATTATTTTATTGTCAACGGTCCTCGATAAGTGTGCGAGGTTTCAATTCAATCCTACCTTTTGAAGCTGGTGAAAATCACGTTCAAAGATTCCATTACATACATACATACAGATGAAGGTAAAAAAGCGTGTTACAAACAAGATTTATAGAGAAGGTTTAAGTAACATAGCTGTTTCTAGCTTAGCATCCTTTCTGAACTGACTACTACCTTTAAACTACGTAATTCCAAACTAAATATACAATATTACTCACGTGTCTTTCGTCGTTAGACGCTGCAGAATGTCGCGGAAGGTAGCTTCATCTCTTAACAAAGGTCGTCAAACTATAAACGTGTATGTCTTTACGAATACCAGCCGCAAAGTTTTTTAATAATTTAAGATTTATAGAGCGTATTTGTCTTACACCCCAATCAATACTTGATTTACCATTTTAATTTAATCATTCAATATTTCACATTTGATCTTAGCATAGTGTATTGGCGGTATTCCGATAAAATTGTTTACCTCCCGCGATACTCATTCTGTTACAAAGTACCAACTATAAGCCTGTTAAATAAAGATAGCTTTTATTGATGGTTTTAAATTGAAGTGAATCTCATGATAAGGTAATGGGTTTGAAGTGAACACTTCAAACTGAAAACCTTATTCCTTAATTAGTTAATACAATGTTTATACATCTAATTTTTATTTTTAACATTATAAAATTTATTTTATGTGATGAGCACAATCATTTGTTTTGTGTCTGGGTATAGTTCATCTATACATACAGTATTTAAACATGTAAAAACGTAAGTGGGATTCAAATTATATTCGGCAAAATGTGGGAGATTTAATGCGCCTCTGTGTACCCGTGTGGGTTTAAGACGTGAATGTATGTGTGTGAGCTTGAAATGCACAATGACGAACAATTGACAGATGCTGCCCCCAATAGTCAAAAAGGCGCATGTAGAAAAAATATATTAATACATTTAATTGGAAATCGTTAGCTGTCTCTGAGTTAATTAAAATAATTAAATATTAAGAATTGGAATTTATAGGCATGATTTGACACCAAGTAATAAAAACATAAATAATTTTAAGTTGTTTAATTAAAAATGACAAAAAACGTGTCATTTTAGTATAAAAAATGTAAAACACACACTTTCTTAATTGAATAGGCGCAAATAGCCAATAAAGTTCTAGATAGGCCTTTTAGATTACCGAATAAAAAAAATCGTAAGAAATATAGTCGTATTTATATCATCATCATCATCAGCCTATCGCAGTCCACTGCTGGACATAGGCCTCTCCCATTGCACGCCACTTAGGTCGATTTTGGGCTTCTCGCATCCAGCTCCTGCCAGCCATCTTGCGCAAATCGTCACTCCACCTGGCCTGTGGGCGTCCTACACTACGTTTGCCGAGACGCGGTCTCCACTCAAGAACTCGTTTTTCCCAACGGTTGTTTGTTCTGCGGCTTATAAAAGCGACTATTCATTTCAGTTTTAGATGAATTCGTCTTTTCAACTTCAATAAGGTTTAAAAAAGTAGGTATGCATAAGTGCCTTATTTTGTTGTGCTAAAATTGAAGCAAGGTAGAAAAATATGAAAAATATAGGCAGATGTATCTTTTCTTCCTGATTCCGGCAATGTAGATAAGTCAAATTCGGAAAAATGTTAGATGAGCCTTTTCAACTATCGGGGGCAGGATGGATGTAGCAATATCGATGGCAATATCAAGGTTTATAAATTTTCAAACTCGCATTCCATAACATATAATTTCTAAGGGAATTAGCACGAATTTATAATTTAAATATCATAGATTACACTCAATTATACTAAATAAAAAAAGACCTAACTTTATAAAAAGTATCGCCGTTTTCAATGCATCTATACTAATGTTATAAAGAAGTAAGGATTATCTCAGGAACTACTGGTTCCTTCGATGAAATAAACTATACTTAGATGCACAGCTTAATACAAAACAAAGTCGTGTCATTAGAATGTATTTCTACTTATACATGTATGTTTTTATAATGCTGTTCAAAAAATAAATAAATTTATACAATGAATGTTCACGCAGAAAGATGACGTAATAATTGATCAAAAAATGTCAATGTACAGATTATACAGCGTCGCTGGCCCGTCCCTCGCAGGCGTTCACATTCAAGGACCATATGTGAATTTTGAACTTTGAATGCGTCAGCCAATAGTAAAAGTTCTCAAACAATTGTAAATGCATCCTCTAGTTTGTAAAAGTAGCCATTCAGAAACTATAATCGCCCAAAGGTGGTCCCTCATTCGTGACTGACAGGCATTCATATCTCATAACGTAGTTAAAATTTACAACTGCTATAAATGACCACTCTTAGTAAAAGATTTGTAAAACGAAGTTATTAAATATCAACCTTCCCCGTTCACTGTATAAAAAGAACTAAGTAGCATGCAGAAGGTGGTCCATCAACTGATCACCATAAGTTCACCTTGAGTGGAGAAAACACTGAAATTTGGAATTTCGCTTTCTGCATGCTAGTTCTTTTTATACAATGAATGCTATTTAATAAAGGTTGATATTTAATAAATTAGTTTTACCAATCTTTTACCGAGAGTATTCATTATTCATAGCAGTTGTAAATTTTAACTAGGTTATCAGTTATGGATGCCTGTCAGTCACGACTGAGGGACTGTCTTTGACCACTTGTAACTTTTGAATAGCTACTTTCACAAATTAGGGTTTGAATTTACTATTGTTTTATAACTTTTACTAAAGGCTGACCCATTGAAAAGCTTAAAATTAAAATGTGGTCCCTCAATGGGAACGTAGACGCGTATTCCATGCGCGCTAAGGTTATAGGAAGCTTAGGTATTTAGTCTACATATAGGTATGTAAATATGCCTCTTAATCCATACTTATAAATGTGAGTTGGTTACGCTTTCACGTCTGAACCACTAAACCAATTTAAAAATTCTTTCACCAATGGAAAGTTACATTATCAGGGAAGTACCATAGACAACTTTTTACCGCCATAACCGACATACACGCAGGCTAGATTACATTATGTTCCGAGATCGACTGTTTAAGATAAGTTTTCAAATTGCTAATATCATTCATATTACATTCTGATCATCTCTTTGTCAGAATATTATTTTGCAGCCATCGAATGTCAAGAAAACAACTTTTAATCCTACTGAATGACATTTTTCAAGAGCTAAATTAATATTATTTTTATCTTCAGTTCAGCTTTTAACCCTGTGACGAAAAAGTAGGCCACAGGTTATTTATAGCTCTCAATAAATGACGACGCAAGGAGTACATACACTTGCCGGGCAATGGGGTCGTTATCACTTGTTTCCCCTAATCCCATATCACCATCACCTATACAATACAATTGTTTAATTTCTTTCGAATTAATGACTAAAAAAGTTGATATTATATTAATATTTCAAAACAGTAATGACGACTCCATATCTTTTGGTATTGGTTTTGTTCTAACGTAGTAGTGAGCGAGATCGTGATATTGGACACTAGACATGGGACAAAATCACAGTGAACTGTGAATGACCGGTGATTTACCATTCGATTTTTTCGTACGTAGGCTAAGCCAATAAGCTGTTCTCAGACGATGCATAAATACCCTATTACGCAACGCAAATCTAGTATTTTTTATCTATACTAATATTATAAAGCTGAAGTTTGTTTGTTTGAACGCGATAATCTCATTAACTACTGGTCCGATTTGAAAAATTCTTTCAGTGCTAGATAGCCCATTTATCGAGGAAGGCTATAGGCTATATATCATCACGCTAAGACCAATAGGAGCGGAGCACCAATGAAGAATGTTTCAAAAACGGAGAAAATTTATTACTATTGAGAGACGCAGACGAAGTTGCGCCGGTCAGCTAGTATTATATATAGCTACCATTCCCTACACAATAATTTAAAAAATACTAGACTTTTTATATAACCTACCTAGCAAACCATACCTACGTAAGCAAAAATAGAATGATAAATTACAGTTCACTGTGATTTTGTCTAATCTACGAGTATATTGGACACTGTTGCGCGAGTGACGAGAGCTGGTGCGGGGTATACACTATTATGAAAGTATACAAATTAATGAAAATATTTGAAGGATATAGGATACCACCACTAGGAGCCGAGTATCAATGAAAAATTTTGTGAAAACGGGGAAAATAAACTGTATTTTCGAATTAATTTTCAAGCGATGGAAGTTTTTCTTTGAATTTTGGTTAATTTCGGCAAAATCGGTTCCTAAATAACGGTATACTGAGGTTATAACGTTAAAAAAAATACAGCCGAATTGATAACCTCCTTTTTTTAAGTCGGCAAATAAAACAATAGGTATTAGCATATCATAACAGATTTACTCAGGCATGGGTGCTCAACACATGGTATATCAGTAGGGTACGAGAGGCAGCGCCTACCGCCTGTAGCGGTACCTCTTGAAGTGGAACCAGAGCTGGAAGATGTTGTTGTGGAAGTGGCAGCGGAAGCCGCGCTTGTACGAGTACTCCCACTCGCGGTTGACGATCTTGAACGCGATGTCCTCGTACGGGGGGCCCGCGTGGAAGCGAAGCACCGCGAAGTCCGGGTTCTCCGGACACGGTTTCTGGTGAACACAAGCAGAACCATCAGCTCAAAATATATGAACTGTCGTTTTTATTGTTAGCTTATTGTACTTTTTTTTGAGAACTTCATTCACAGAAATTATTGATACGGAGATATTTAGCTTGCTGAATATTTGACTAAACAGAGATTGTTGCTATTGTGTGTTGATCTATGACTTTAGAGTCTACATAAGAGACGATTTCAAATAATTTTAATTTTTTTATGAAACAAAAATATTTGAGTTTGAGTTTAGATAATTTAGATCAAATGATGAATCTAATATTTGGTCCCAATAGTTTAATGAGTTTATCATTATCAGTGACTATTTAGGTACTTACTCAAATATTTTTATTGAAATGAAATGATATTTATTTCTGCAACTAAATCTTTTCAGATATTTTTACTAGTCGGAATGGATTATTTACATACCAGTGAGAATTCAGGTGTGGAATTCTTGTCGATGAGGTCTGGATAGAAGATGTTGAATTTGTAGCCCTGCACAATCTTCGGTGGAGGATTGTCCATGTCATAGTGAGTTTGGTTGTACTTGTTCCACTCGAAGCCGGTGTGGACTCTGCAGGTGTACAACATTATGTTAGCAGCATAGTAAACATCTGTATCGTAGGAACACTAACAGAGTTCAATCAGTTTAATATAAATACAATTAAACTAGAATGTGACTGACTTTTACTGGCAGCGTACACATGGAGAGAATAAGGATTATAGGTTATGTGTATATCAAACTTCTTGAAAGAGTTTGTATATTCAATTGACGACAACAGGCCAGAGATTCAAGAAATATATAATATACCTCACACCCAGACATAGAACAAATGATTATGCTCATCACACAATATTTGTCCTGGGTGGGAATCGAAGCCACGACCTCCGGCTTAGCAGTCAAGGGCACTAACCATTAGACCAACAAGCTCGTCGGTCACCATACAGAAGGCAGGTCTTTTGTACTTTCAAAGTTATATGTATCAAAGTTAGCAGAAATATGGATGTTTATACCTGTTGAAGTAACGGGGCTTCCTGGGCCGGTACTTGTCGGCCCAGAGGCAGGGCTGGTCGGGCAGCACGTGCTCGACGCTGAACTGCACCTCGTCGTTGGACGCGCCCATGGCACGCCTCGCCTCGCGCTCCAGCGCCTCGCCGCCCGTCGGAGCCGCCGCCGAGCGAGCCTGCACCGAACACAATATTAACGCTCGACTATGGCCCGAGTAAACGTTAACAATGTATGAATTCCTTTGTTTTTATGGTATTTATTATTTCATTAACATCGACATTTACAAGGGAAAAGCTATAGGCGAAGCCAGTATCGTTAGAGATTTAAAACCTGGAACGAGCAATCGAGAAAGCTGAGAAACTTCATAAGGTATCGAGTACTGACCTGGTCGCGCACGCGGTCGCGCTGCGCGTGCAGGCGCGCGCGCAGGTAGGCCAGGCGCTGCGCGTCGTCGGCCGGCTCCGTGAGCAGCGTGCCCGGCTCCAGCTGCGCCGGCGCCAGCAGCGCGGGCGAGTAGCGCCCGCTCGCGTACAGCGACGTGCACGCGTCCTGCTCCGCGCCCGACTCCTGCTCCGACGTCGTGCCGCCGCCCTCCGCTTCGCGGGACCCCGAGGCCTGAGGCGGCTCCGGCTCCGTAGATTCTGGTCCGGTCCTGTCGAATCACGAGAAAAACCTCAGTCGGATTAAGGCTAACCGAATGCCTATTTAATGAATCATGGACGTGAAAAGTTTTAAGTGCAACGAGTATCGTACTCAGCGGGTTCCTCCTTGAGCGCGGCGGCGCCCTGCACGCCCTGCTCCTGCTTCAGCAGCTGCAGCTTGCGCCGCAGGTTGTTCTGGTGACGGTCCCGCAGGCGCGCGCGGGACATGTGAGCTGGACATAAGTTCCTCGTTAAAACTTCAATTTCTCAAAAATAATTATCAAAGATTTGGCATCGCACTTATCATTCGTGCGTATATGTTTGCGTGCCTGTATGTGCGCACGTGACGCGTCAGTGTGCGTACGAAATATGTAACGAATAAAATCGGGCTTACCCTTCAGTTGGCTGAGAAGACTCTCCCAGTATCCCACGTCGACACCGTCTCTTCTGCCGCTGATCTTCTGCTCGATCTGAGTCTGTAGCGCTTCCAGCTGTGCACCCGTTTTGCCTTTGAATATCTAAAAGCATAATAGTAGATAAATTTACTCCGATCGAGAGGACCTGGTAAAACAGGTTGGTTGTCTGCAGTGATTTTGTATCAGAGTCCATGTCGCAGCGTTCTCAAGTGGATATTATATATACAGATTTCAGCAAATGCTTTGACCGTATACATCACGGTACACTTCTCCGTAAACTTTCCCATATGGGAATCAGTGGTAATCTCTATAGATGGTTCACATCATACGTCGAGAACAGGTGTCAGACTGTGGTGTTAAACGGATTCACTTCGCGATCGTTTAATGTGCCCTCAGGCGTTCCCCAAGGATCGTTGCTTGGGCCGCTACTATTCAACATATTTATGAATGACATTGGCTCGTGTTTTCTGCATTCAAAAATCTTGCTATACGCCGACGATATGAAAGTGATGAGGCAAATAAAGACTAATGATAACGCGCGTTCACTACAGGAAGACCTAGATAGGTTTCAAGTATACTGTATCCTGAATAGACTTGAGTTAAATGTATCTAAGTGTTACGTATGCTCTTATTCTCGGAAACCTAATCCAATTCCTTATACCTACACTCTCAAAGATACACCTATAACTAGAGTCACCCAGGTTACGGATTTAGGAGTAGTATTTGACTCAAAACTAACCTTCGACCACCACATCGATTGTGTAGTCAAAAGAGCTTCAAAAGCGCTGGGATTCATATGTCGAATATCGTCGGACTTCGAAAGCCTTAAAACTATCAAAATTCTATACTGTTCCTTGGTTCGTAGTCACCTCGAGTACGCTTCACCGCGGTTACGAGGTGTGGAATCCTCGCTATGACGTCTACATAAATCGTCTAGAAGGCATTCAGAGAAAATTTGTAAGGTACATTCAATTTCGTTCCAATTGTTACTTACCCAACTATAGCAGTCGATGTAAGAAATTTCACTTGCTTCCCTTAGACGAAAGGCGCAAAATTGCGGACTTATCGTTGTTATTTAATATAATGAATGGCTCAATCCAAGTGACTGAGTTTGTGAATAAAATCGCACTAAGTGTACCATCTAGGTCTTTACGCAGATCGCACCTCTTACACACTCCTTTTGTAAGCACAAACTACAGGGAAAATTCCTACTTAGTAAGGGCCAGCCGCATACTTAATATGACGTGTCGGAATGTAGATATCGACCTGTTCACCACCACTGTCACTAAAATGAAAAGGATCATGTGTAACCAGTTTTTCGATGTACAGCATTAAGTTACTTTCAATTTTTACGATTATTGTGATAGTTTATGTTGTATTATATTATATGTAGTGGTAAGTTGTATAGATGTTAAGTTATTGAATGTGAAAACTTGTAATTGGCCATCACTAGCTATTATCAATATGTGCACTGTCCTCTTTAGCTGTAAGTTTTCCAAAAATTATAAAATAAAATAAAACAGTGGGCAGACAGTCGACGAAGAGACAAGTCGATATGTGTTAGAGTATTAGATAGTGAGCGGAAGGTCCAGACCTGCGTGACGTCATCGGCGACGGCCTGGTGCACGCCGTCGCGGCGCGCGTCGGGCGCGGCCAGACGCCGCAGCTTGTTGAGCTCGTCCAGCACGATGGTTTGCACGTCCTCCCAGTACGCCACGTTCGCGTTGTTCTCCAGCTCCTTGTACACCTGCGGGACGGGACGCACACATATCGGTCATATCTTACTCACACTTTTTTAATTATAAGTATGATCAACACTCGACGGTTTGAAAATAACACCCTTTTTAATATATTTTTTTATTAACGAAAAACTGTCTGTATTAATCAAAGTTTACCGTAATGAGGTGAAGAAAGATTATGAATTACGACCATCAATTATAATGCCTGCACGGATGGCATAGTGGTTTAAGCGGTCGCCACGCCGCTTCTTATTACGCCGAGTGTTGTGGGTTCTAACACATGGGACACATGGGACAACACTTTGTGTTCACTTTCACAATTGTTGTTTTGAGTCTGGGTGTACTTTGTGTCCGTTTCGTGTATGTTTGTAAAGTCCCCCGCGACACAGGATTTATTCCTAGTGCGGGAGTTGTCTTTTTAAGAAAAAAAAAAGTGTTTCAATGTCTTTCTAGGGGGACATCGTAACGTATACTGAAATAGTGTATTCAGACCAGCATTCTACGTCTATAATCATTGGAATTTTCTACCGGAAAATTAAACTTTTTTAAAGGTAAAGGTCATTCCCCGTAGATATCGCACAAAAGTAATAACTACATGTGTATTCCGTGCAAACAGTTTACGCACACTAACAAGTTGGCGGCCGGAGAGGAGGCCCTGTGCGCTTCGGCTGTTTGTTTTATTAAATTGCAGTTTTTGACCGTAGTATTTATTAATTTGTGTTCGGCGAAATGGTCTGTTTACTCATTTCGATATAATTTTAACCAAAAAAAATTTTAAACAATATTAAAGGATCCTTAGTATCTGCTTCGTTTTTAAAGTTGTGCAAAACCAAACTTAAACATAATCATTAACATTCGTACCTTGATGTCTTCGAGTAAATCTTCAAGGTCCTGTGACTGCAACCCATTGAGATAGGTGTAAGGTTCGTGCATCTCTAACGCGTCCACGCACTCCTCCGAACTGACGTACCACGCCAGCAAGTCTATCGGTTTAGCTGTACAATGAGAACAACATTAATGTATTAAAAAAAAATGCAGAATAAGAATAGTAGTATGTTAATTTATTAGCATTTTTTTTAAATTATAAAGAAAAGAACATAAATTGTTTGTATGATAAAAAAACGTGTGTGCTTTAGACCACACGACTGAAGTAAAACTTCTTGGCTATGAATGAAAGAAAATGTGTGCCCGCACCTCTCTCTCTTGCCCCTACAGTAATCTATGAAACGTGACTCTATCTCTTTCTATCTTCACTAACTTATATCTCTCTTTCAATTTTCGTTCGCCTCGCCTGATCACACTTTTCGTAACGAGCCCGTCTTATCTCATTCACCAGCCTTCTTTACGCACTCTTCTCTTGATTTGGGGAGTAATCCATAAGTCAAGAGAAGAGTGTGTAAAGAAGTTTCACTTCAAAGAGATTATACTACAGAAAATTAGGATACATATTATGGTATAGTAGAAGAAACATTCTCATTATCATCATCATCAGCCTTTCGCCGTCCACTGCTGAACGAAGGCCTCCCCCGAGGAGCACTATTCTCATGCTTGGCCTAATTGTAACATTAACGTTTCACACTAAAAACACTTATATCATCGACCTCGTCCGTCCCGTATTCGTATCTGTGAGCGCAGGCGCGCCTGGTGCAAGTGGAAGGCGTCCTCGTGCTTCGCCCACGTGTGGAACTGCATCGCCTCGCGGGCCCGCGCTGCCTGCGCTGCTTCCGCTTCTCGCGCCGCGCGCTCCGCCTCCCGCTCCAGCCGGCGCTGCTTCACCTGTTTCATACAAACACCATATTTATATTTCACAATCATCACTATTCACATCTTCAAATTAAATAAAAAACATACTTTTTCCAACTCTATTTTGTTTTCTTGTTGCTTCTGTCTATTCTGTGCCTCGATTTCATCCCGTGACACATTCTTTACGCCTTCCTTTGCAAGTTTCTTGCCCCATACGAAGGTATTGGTGAGTGCCGAGTCTCCGAAGGGATTGTCCTGGTTGGTATAGCATTGGTACTCGTTGTCCCATCCCATACGCTCGCGCCGCTTGCGCTCCTTCTCCTGTTTTTCGCGGAGTCTTCGAGCTCTAGGAAAGATAGGAATAAAATGTAGCGTAAGTTGCTTATGCATCAGCTTTGTGCATCAAACAGTAGAAGTATTGTTGCAATCTATAGTAATATTATAGAGCTGAAGAGTTAGTTTGTTTGGTTGAACGTGCTAATCTCAGGAACAACTGGTTTAAATTGTTTTTTTTTAATGTTGGATATCCCATTTATCAAGAAAGGCTAAAGGAATGAAAAACGTTGCAAAAATGGAAAAGCTAGTGTTAGAATGATGTGAATAAAATAATTTTTACAAGTGGATAACTATTTCACATAATTCATGATACAACCTATTTAAAATGTGTTCAGTATTCTATTTATATGGATGTCTTAGTTACCCTGTGCATATTTCTCCACAAACCTGTTGGTGAATAATAAGTAAATACAATGAGTCAACTAACCATAATGCCAAACCATCACAATATTAATTGTAAAGTTAGTTTGTCACAGATTATAGGCATCCACAAAGGTTTTATGTACTAATGGCAGTAACAAAGTCTCATATACGATACAACTATCAACCCAAAGAAGAATAAGAACGGTACTTGATAATATAGCTACTAGCAACCTAATATGACATTGATTTCTTTATTTTACTTTAAAGTTACTGACCAACAGAAATTTTATAATAACGAATAACTAACTTCACACATCTCTCACAGGCCGTCTGGTTCCAAACTAGGCAGAGCCTGTACTGATAAACAAACTTATATATTTTTAAATACATACATATTATAGATAAATTACACCCAGACACAGAATAAATCATCGTGCTCATCACACAATTATCTATTGTGAGTGGGAATTGAATCCACGACCTCTGGCTTAGCAGTCAGGGTCACTAACCACTAGACCAACAGGATATATTTGATACCACATTATAATGGTTGTGAGATGTTTAATTTTGAGTTTGTACTGGTGATCTGGCTGATATGATGATGTGAAATGGTGTTAACAATGTGTGAGTTGTGTTAATGAATGAATATATTCTGATTTTAGAAGAGTATCTGTTTTCATTTTAAATATTCTTTCCCTATCTATAACTTCATTGTCTCCACATTAAAAGCATTTTAGTAACAACTGTTTACCTTTTCTCTTCTGGAGTTTCATTGGCTTTCAGTTGCTCCTTTTGTTTTTTCTTCTCCTCTTTGATCCTGAGGCGCTCTCCCTCTAACCTCTGCAGTAATTTTAACTCTTCTTCATCACTATCACTACTTGAGCTACTGCTAGAAGAATGTCTCCTCTTTTTCTTTTTCTTTGATTTAGACTTCTTCCTCTCCCTGCTTGAAGATCTATGTTTAGACTTCTTTGATGAGTGTGAGTTTGACCTGTGTTTAGGTTTTGGTGACTGCGACCTTGTCCTCTCCCGACTCCTGTGTCTGCGGTCTTTGCGGCGTTCTACTGTTTTACTTCTAGATCGTCCATCTCTTTGCACTTCATATCTGGACGACCTGGTTGCAACATAAAATAGGAAAATAATTAATTTGTGACGTTATTCAGGTGTGTTTACATAGAGAAGATGTTGAGAAGTAAAGATGAAATACATTTAAACTTACATTTTAGTAAAGATAAACTGTACACTTATAAAAATCTATTACTGACGTAGTAAAATGTAATCAACGAACACGAAACATAGATTTTATAGTAAATTATAACTCGATTTTAACTTAAATTACTGTAAAACATTTATTTTGTCACCACCAAACCATAAGACAAGATGACATCTCATTATTTGTCAACAGTGTCAGTCATGTCAAATGTAAAATAGGGATGCTACCATTGCAAGCAAGTTCATTTTTAGGTTGTGCATGCAGTGAAATTAATTTTTGTACATAAATGATTCAAATAGAAAAAAAACCATCTAGCATGTCTAAAAGTTGCGGAATTGTGCTCCAGTTATTCAGAGGTGAAAACTTAAATCTCCACTCAGCACACTTCTAACATCAACAATATTTGTGTATACTCGTAAGTGTATACACTTAAAGTCCGCTGTTCAGATATCTCACACACAGCATCTGATCTGATCTAATTAGTGGCTGTGCTGTGGCATCCAAACTGCTGATAAGTATACTTAAATACATTAAATACATCATACAGATAAATTACATCCAGGCACAGCACAAATAATTGTGCTCATTGGTAGGATCGAACCCACGACATCCAGATTAGGATCAGCAGTTAGGATCACTAAACGCTAGACTAACAGGCCAGTCCTGTATGTTTAAACAGTTTACTTGGCAAAATTGAAAATAATATATTTTTCTCATGTTGTCATGTTGGCGTGTGATGGATACTCTATCCTATTTATTAAAGTGATTAAAGACGTCTAAAATGGATACGAAAATGTTGTGGTTCCGTTAACAAATTAAGTAACAATTTGATCTTTCAACTTTCTATGGCAGAAGAACTTCATTGTAATTGTGACTCAGGTGTTTGCATGTAATATTTTAGATTGGATGAAAAGTTTTTCTAATCGTATGTCTGGCATCCCTGCTGCACACTGTACTGTGCTGCACACAACAGCAGTACAGCACAACTGTCATATTTGTTGATTGAAAGTTGTAATTGTACTTGAACATCTTTAATTTAATTATTTTACTTACTCTACATTTAATATCAATTGGCTACATTAAAGAACTTCGTAATCAACTACCATATAGATCTCTGTAGGAAAATTCAATCCTTAAGTTTAATTTATCATTGTTCTGATTAGTTAAACAGTGCAGCTGTATTGCACAAGAAACTTTCGAATATGTCGTTTTTGCGAGGCTCAGAAAACTATGTTTGGTGTACAACCAGCGTTCTCGGGAAAGGCGCTACGGGCGCTGTGTTCCAGGGTGTCAATAAGAACAATGGGGAACCAGTGGCAGTGAAGACGTTTAACCAGCTCAGTCACATGAGGCCGCACGACGTGCAGATGAGAGAATTCGAAGTATTAAAGAAGGTAAAGCACGAGAACATTGTGAAGCTCCTCGCCATCGAAGAGGAACAAGAAGGGCGGGGAAAAGTAATAGTTATGGAGCTATGCACTGGAGGTAGTTTGTTTAACATTCTAGATGACCCTGAGAACACATACGGCCTTCAAGAACACGAGTTTCTCTTAGTATTAGAGCACTTGACAGCTGGCATGAAGCACTTACGTGATAATAACTTGGTGCACAGAGATCTTAAGCCAGGTAATATTATGAAATACATAAATGAAGATGGTACTACTACTTACAAATTGACAGATTTTGGAGCAGCCAGAGAGTTGCAAGAGGAGGAACAGTTTGTGTCACTTTATGGCACTGAGGAATACTTACATCCTGATATGTATGAGCGAGCAGTGCTCAGAAAGCCAGTGGGGAAGAGCTTTGGAGCAACAGTAGACCTGTGGTCCATAGGGGTCACTCTGTACCATGTAGCTACTGGCCAGTTGCCATTTAGGCCTTATGGGGGCAGGAGAAATAAGGAAACTATGTTCTATATCACCACTAAGAAGGCATCAGGAGTTATCGCAGTAAGTGATATTTTTGGACTGTTAATGACAAAGGTCACATGGAATCAGAGATGACAATCTTGCTTTGAAAAATTGATCATATTAGTAATTTTATACCAAGGATACATTTACTTGTTTATTTTTATTTATTTTATAAATATCAAGATTTTTTAGAAATTGACTGATACAGGTTTGTGTATCAGGCAATTTCTCGTTTCATGGGCGGCGATAGTCACTTTCCATCAGGTGACCCGTCTGCCCCCTCTATCATAAAAAATAAAATAAAAAAATACAGTGATTATCTGACTAAAAACTGACGATTCATAGACTCAAAGTTGTGGACCATTTTAAGTTGTGCTCCTACTGTATGTACTTAGCAAACCCTAATAATATACTGCAATAGGGTTGCCTAACTAACATCCATAAAGTCTTTTATCCATTCCTTTTTATTATATTAATAAAAAAAAAAAATGTGTTTTTATAGTTATATCAAGTAAATCACATCAATAGACACCATCTCTATTACTCCCCAGGGCACACAAACAACAGAAAATGGCCCAATAGACTGGGCGCGAGAGCTCCCATCCCACTGTCAGTTAAGTGTGGGTCTGCGCAAACTTGTAACACCACTGCTTGCTGGACTATTGGAGGTGGATCCTCATAGGATATGGACTTTTGATAGGTTCTTCTCAGAAGTCCAAGTAGCTACATCGACTAAAACAGTGCATATATTCCATGTTAATAAAGCTGCCAGTATAAAGGTAAGTAATTTTTTTAAAATAAACTTGACAATAAAAACATTGAAATGAAAATTTACTTTTGCATCAACATGTAATTTTTATAAAATAACCATATATAAAAATCCCCTCTACAAATACCCACATTAACCATAGTGTATCATAAACAAGTGTAAACTAGACCTCCTTACATGTTAGGTTGTAAATGTTACCAAGGGAGTATAGTAGCCCAAGGTGTAAAAGTAGTGTGAAGAGTGACCCCATAATTTCATTCATAATCTATACAAATAAATAAAATTGAAGTGTCTGTTTGTAATATCGAAATAATAGGTTTTCTTCATGCTCACACGGTTATTTGTAGGATACCTAAAAACCAGTTTAATTGTTGTCTGTCTGTTCCGGGTAATTTTCTAAACGGCTGGACCGATTTTGATAATATTGTGCTATTAGGTAGCTGTCTATATAAGGAGTAACGGAGGATATTTTTCCTCTCAGAAAAACACTTTAAAATTTTGCCCGGTCCGGGAATCGAACCCACCAAGGCAGCGCTTTTAAAATTCCACGTGGACGAAGTTGCGGGTACCAGCTAGTAATACATAAAGATATTGGTGGATGACATGAATAGGTCAATAAATATTGAACTGATAATGTCACATCAGCCATACTTGTTGTAATTAAACTACTAGTATCTGACTGCAGCCTCACTTATCTAAAAGTTATTTTTCTATCCCTTTCGAACCCGTGTTGTGTCTTTGGAAACCTGTATTTGAAATTACAAAAAAAAATTAAGCAATCGATAAACAACTTAAAGAGATATGCTATTAGGAATATAAAAACAATTAATTTTTATATATACATATTTCTTAGTGAACAAATGAATGCATCATGTTTATTGGTGGTGTATGCCAACAGAGGTTAAGGTGACAGCTGTTTTGTTCCTAAAACACATTAACAAGAACAAAACAATTCCAGCATATTACTGTTGTTATGTATTAATTTGTAAAAGGAACATTGCATGGTTGTACACAGTTTGATTACTTTGCCCTTGGTCAGGTGCTATTCATAATTATAAAACTACATAATACCAACATAATCTATGTACTCACATCAGCTATTAATCTTTGTATGTATGTGTATCTCACTACTACCTCATTATAATGTTCTTGATTTTTTTTTAATTTTTTTTATGCAACAACAAATTTCTTAACAGTGGTTTTCTATGAGTTCGTGGTAACACTCCGGTCGGACCAACCCTAATTTACCGAAGCATGGTCATTCTGCGAATTTTATTTTGACTCGTCCGTACCGAAAGGCAGGGTTTTTCATATAGCCGGCATCCTGCCTGGAAGCAAACTTCCTTGAGAATATAATAGTTTTTAACGTGTTAGGTAAAACGTGGGTCGGGTGAAGGAGTTGAGGCTGAGGTATCCTGAGGGCCTAGTGGAATTTTATTTCATCAACTAGCTCATCACGGTGACCGAGTTTGGCGCTGTGATTGGCCCGCACTGAAATCTGCACCAATCGGAACGCCGAACGCGCTCGCTGTCGAGAGCGAGTGGATGAGAAATAAACTTGCCCTGGACCTTCACAAGAAGCCAGAGTCGCGTAGCCGTATGTCCTTCTTGTGATAGGAGGAGCTCCGACAGTAATAAATTACATGATCAATCACTTCGTACATTGGCCAATAAAGTATTTCATACGACATTCAGAATATTTTCGGCAGTAAGTGGCACCGTTTAAAGTCTATTATCTTAACAGAATTACAGTAACAGTGCTGTCGGCCATTGCGCCACGGCTCGTTATATTCGGCCCAGATTTATTTGCCAAAAACAATGCGCGTAGACACCAGATCTATTGTCTTTAACTGACTTATTTGCAACGGTGTAATAATGTACGAAACACAATTTGATAGAATTGTTCGTGCATAATTGGTTATCGCCTATCTTACAAAACACACAAGTTTAGTTTTTATTGAGTAATAAATCTCTCTCAGTCAACTTTATTATAATAGTGTATGCTTACATAAGTTTAAAAAGCAGATTTAATAGACACCCGAAGGGACAACAGAAAGGATACCCCTAGGAATATGCGTTTGGGCAATAAAAAAAACGTAATTTGTAAAAGCTGTGATTTCCACACTGGGCACATACATGAAGATAACGAAACGTCTGCCAAATGGATCGAAGGGACTTAGGTATGTGATGTTACTTTCTTATATAAATGATTAAATAACTATGTAGATTCCCCTTTATTTTTGGAAAAAACAAATTTCAGAATTCTGCAGACGAGAAAGAACATGTCGTAACAAGAAACTATTTTTTGGTCCCCTGGCAACTACCTACCTGTTACGCAAGTAATGGTTTTATTAGACGAGCCTGCACTTTGTACGACGATGAACTGCGTGAAGTTGATATTTTTAATCTACCTCTTAATTCCTTTAAGAAATAGGGTCTACTTTACAACTTTTCTAAATTATCTGTTTCAACTAATATTAATATAATCTAGATTGTTATCGTATACAAACTTGATCTTGATGTTGTATTAATTTAGGGAACTATTAAGTCTATAAGTACATACAAATATGTTTTATCTCAACATGTAAATGACTGTTTATTACTCAATAAAAAAACGGGTCCATAGACCAGTCCATGAGGGGTCTATAGACTCCGGTCAAAACGAAGTTCCTCGCTTTGCGATATCATATCTTATATCATATTTTCATTAAAATTTTAATTAGTTAGAAAAAGTCGCTTTTTTTAATAACATAAATAATTCAGTTTACTTTTCGCTTTTTTGTGTTTTTAAGGCCCTTCCTTAAAGTTTTTGTTTGTGGTTTTTTTTAATCGGTTAAATTTGTTTTTCTATAAAATTGATTATTTTGCCATTTTTAGTGTAAATAATCATAGGTACGTAGTAGGTTGATATACTCGTGCAATGCCGTAGTAAATTATTTTGGTCTATCTCGTAAGGTTTAGCTAGCGTTTGTAAAGCGCACAAAAATATGTTTTTTATCACAAATCTTTGAAATTCTCGGATTTTTTCTACTGTAATATCCACGTATTATACATATAAACATTCCTCTTGAATCACTCTCTCTATCGGGGAAAACGGCATTAAAATCAGTTGCTACCTTTAAAAGATCTAAGCCAGTCCGTGCGTTCTATAGCAAAAAAGTGTCGGAAAAAAGTCGTGTTACACATTTTTCGGGCTGACTCCCTTCTCTTCAGAGACTGTTACGCGCGATAAGGAACTTTGTGCCCAAAAAAATGTTCAACTGTCATGTCTAAAAGTTGCGGACTTGCGTTCTAGTGGTTCAGTGGTGGAAAGCTTAAATCTCCACTCAGGACACTCCTAACATGAACAATGTTTGTGTATACTCGTAATACACGTAACTTCACAGTTCATACACCACTCATATCAGTTCATAATCACACACAACAGTCTGATCTAACCTGTGCCTGTGCTGTGGCAACCAAACTATACTTAAAATACATTATACAGATAAATTACATCCAAACACAGAACAAATAATTGTGCTCATGGGTAGGGTCGAACCCACGACATCCAGATTAGCAGTTAGGGTCACTAAACTCTAGACCAACAGGCCAGTCCTTTATGTTTAATTAAACAGTTTACTTAGCAAAATTGAAAATAGTATGTAATTCTCATGTGATTATTTTTATGTCTGATGGATACCCTATCCTATATATTAAAGTAATCCAATATAAAAAAGTCTTGTTACACTTTTTTCGGTCTACCCCCTCCCCCCATCCGCTCAGAGCGCGTAACTCGCGATAAGGAACTTCGTTTCAAAAAATGGCACAAACAGGTAAAAGAAGTTTACTAGTATAATCTATACTTCTTAGCGTGCGTGCGTGCGTTTTTAGCTTGCGTTGTTTCGTGATCTTTCACTATAGAACGAATGGGTACCCGCCAATATTTTACTATGTACGCTGTCTATGACTTAACTGTTACTAACGCATAACAGGTCATCAACGCGTATCAGCTCATGCTACTACCATCTCCAGTTGACAGCAATTCACGTGCCTACTGCAGGTTGGAGCCTGTATAGAATTGACGTAACGGAAATAAAGTCTGATGGTTTTATATTTCCAGGTGTTTCTAAAACCAGATGAGAAGTATGAACACCTGCAGACGTATATTTGTGAGCAGACTAGCGTGGTGGCTGAATCTCAGATATTACTCTACAAGGACAAGCTTATGCTCACAGAGATCAATGATAACACCTTGGGTATGTAGTGTACATACGCAGCCATATTTATTTAATATTAATTTATCATCATCAACAGGCTTTAATAGTCAACTGTTGGACATAGGCCTTTCCTTAGAAAGGAAGTTTTGGCCTACTATACCACGCTGGCCAGACGGGTTGTTAAAGGGTTTGTGTCAAGTGTGTTCTCTTTTTGCGGATACTCCGTATTCTTAATCCGTCACCACACGGACAATAGGATTCATACTAATTAGGCACCTAGAAAAATAGTTGTTTCCTATGGTACATTAGGCGAAGACTGCTTTGCTGTATTTCTTTTTTGTTGAGTTGGGGGGCAAACGAGCAGACGGGTCCCATATGCAACTCAGTCACAACGTGGCCACCTTTAAGTGCCCTTGTACAATTAGGGGGAAGGGTTGGCTGGGTAACCCTGGCAAAGACCGGGAACGAAGTGCTTAACACGGGTTCTCTGTGAGGCCGTGTTGTCAATCTGGTCGAGCTGACAAAGTATCTGATAAATTATATTTTCAGTTTCACTAGTAACAGTTATTTATCCAGATTAAATCTCCCAGAATTCGATATCTTAAAAGGCATGTTTATAAACGACACGTGTTGCAGGTAAGGACTACCCGGACACGACAGCGGAGGAGCCGGTGATGCTGTTCAACAAGAACAACAACAACGTGAGCATGGCGCCCGAGCCGGAGGTGCCCAAGTTTCCCGTCTTCCCCAATATTGTCTCCGTGGAGAACGACGCCAGCCAAGCCAAGGTTATCTATACATATAAACTTATTTGTCCTTGTCTTAAACCGCTCTGTACCCCACTTGGGCTACAAACTTAAAATTTTGGCAGATTATGCGTTATACTAAGAAAGAATATTTAAAAATTTGTTTGATGAAGAAAGGGAAGGATTATCTGGAAGAAGTTTATCATTTTTGAAGTCAGAAACACGAAATGAGAAATAACCGCGCGCAATAGCTGGTATCATATACCTATTTTAAATGTAACTTTCTAAACTTCTTTTTTTCTTTATAGATAAATATTTTAAGAGTTGCTACTGCTTTGTTACTTTTTTGCTTATTTTTTCTTTTTAAAAGACATCGCATTAGGAATATTTTCTGTGTCGCGGGGGACTTTACAAACATACATAAAACGGACACAAAGAACACTCAGACTCAGAACAACAACTTGTGGATCACACAAAGTGTCGTCCCATGTGGGGATCGGACCCACAACACTCAGCGTAGTAGTAAGCGGCGTGGCGACCGCTTAAACCACTACGCCATCCGTACAGTTATTTTTGGAAATAATCTTTATTTTGTTAGGTGTAAATTTGTATGTATATTTTCAAAGTAATATCAGTTTACATATAATGAATAATTAAATAGATAATTTCGTAGTTTGTAAGTTCTTCCGCATTAGTTAGCATTGTTGTATATTATATTTAGTTCATATTTTGGCACATTCACGGCATTCACTTAACAATTGACTTCCATCCTGTAATTAATTAACTAACAACTAGTTCATGACCGCCATTATTTGATTTTGGTTTTCTGTAACATCCTCCATTGTTTCTCATGATGTACAGAGGAAAACGAAAGATCTTACTTTGATACTGTTGATTGCAAGCCAGTCTGTATGTGTGCTACTGTGCTTACTCACGGGGCTGCTACTAGCGTGAAGTGACCACAGGTGCGCTGATAGGTAGTAACCGGACTCACAATATTTTCTTGATCGAACATTTGCGATATAGTCCCGTGTTACGGTTAACTCAAAGGACCATTAATGTAGACCTCTACGCTTCCTTAACATTACTGATAGGTTGTTTTACCGAACTTTACCGAATTATGATTTGATTGCTACTAAATTATGTACAAAAATTAAGTATGTAAAATGTGCCTATGTAATATAAGTGCGTACACGCTAGCTAATTTTGTTAAGTACTATAAATGTGTGGGTTTGTTCGTATAATCTCCTTAATTTTGTATCGAAATAATTACCTGTCTTCCTGGGATTTCGCTCGCGTTGATGTAAATTTTATTTTGTCAATCAATTTAGGTATCTCTCGCAAATAGTTATATCCTGTGCCTAGGGCACACATAACGTGTATGTGTAATCGGTGACGATCGATCGATCAGTTAAGTGCGTGCGTGTGTCGGCAGACGGCGTGCAGCGTGGGCCACGTGATCCGGCGCCGCATCGAGGCGCTGTGCAGCGCGTCCGTGCTGTGCGGCGCGTGCGTGGCGCGCTGGGGCTCGCTGCTGGGCGCGCGGGTGGCTCGCGTCGCCGCGCGCGCAGAGGCGCTGCACGCGCACGCCGGCCTCGCGCACAGCGCCGCGCGCGCGCTCGACTTGGCGCGGAACGCCGTCAAGGCGCACAACAGGACCGCGCAGGTTCTCTCGTCTTTTATCGACGTCCGACGGCTCGCACGCTCGTCATTCGACTGAGAGTCTATTGCTTTTTAACAATTCATCTATTTAAACGCCATCTGCAAAACTAGTGTTAACGTTTTCACGAAAGCGATATAAGTAAAGCTAGTCGGTGACCGTAGGGCGCGGCGGGCGAGAGCTGGTCGGCGCGCGCGGCGCTGGTGGCGGGCGAGGCCACGTCGCTGCGCGGGGCGGCGGGCGCGCTCCTGGCGCGGCACGCGGGCGGCGCGCTGTGCGCCGAGTGGCACGCGGCGGCCGCGTCGGCGCCCTGCCCCGCGGACCTGCGCCTGCACGTCAAGGCGCGCACGCTGGTGGAGCGCCTGCGCGACTCGTGGCAGCACCTCGTGCGCGACCGCGCCACGCGCTCGCTCACCTACAACGACGAGCAGTTCCACGTGCTGGAGCGCATCACCGTGGCCGAGACGGGGCGGCGCGCGCGCGCGCTGCTCATGCGCGCCGCGCCGCTCGCGCGCGCCCGCGCCGACGCCATCGCCGACTGGTCAGTGCCCGCGCCGCCCTCGCCCCCCCCCACCCTCGCCCCCGATCCCCGCTACAGCGCCTCTCTGCCCGCAGGTACAAGGTGGCGCAGACCGTGTACCTGCAGACGCAGATCCTGGACAAGGACGTGTCGAGCGCCGAGCTGAAGCTGCTGACCCTGGCGGCGCGGCTGCAGGACGCCGAGCTCGGCATTAGAGACTGCGTCAACGACGCGCAAACCACGGTGCGTCACTTTCTCAAATAAATTTATTAACAAAACGGGAACTTCTGGTCATACTTTATAGTTCAAAAATTACTTATTCCTTCGATTTTTAACATGTTAACAGACCCAGGTCCAGTTAAACATACCTTGACAAGATTCTGACACCGAACGAGTAGAATAAATCTGAGAGCGATACATCTTAATTTTGAAATATTATTAGGAAAAATAAAAATCTGCCCTCTAAGCGCTCTTAATTCTATGACGAATATAATTGGTCCTTCGAGCCAGTTATAAACTAATGCCCTTAAGATTAAATCAATCAACCGTATCCAATTCGTTTAACTTATAAAGGTAATCCCTGTTATACTACCCATACTCTTTAAAAAATGAAAGAATTGAATCCTCAGGTTTTCAAGTAATATTTTAGAAGCGCACTCCATACAGACACTCGATCATGCTTCAGTACTCTTAATACAAGTTAAATACAAAGAACTCTACAGATAGTGTATTCACATCTATGTAGGTATATATAAACGACTTCTTGTTGACAGAAATTCAACAAGTTTTTTCATTCCAATTGCGATCATTTGTATTTTTTAAACTGGCTAAACTAAAACTATTATATTATTTTACTAAATCAAACAACTTCACGGACCATGATAGCTATATGTACATATTATTATTATTATGTATACGTATGGGAGTTAATGTTATCCTAGAACAGGTATAATGTACCTACATATTAATTCCCTTAATGTCTAGATAAAAGGGTTTTTAACTGTAGAAGAGCTAGAGCTAGAACTTTGACTTAACCTCCCAACGTCAAGGGTACAACGCTTACTAGTCGTGGGTATGTCGTATCTCACAGTTTATAACTACTGACTTATTATCGCCAATCATAACCGGGTAGCAGGGTAACGCGTCTCGGCCAGGAGCAGACGCGGGGCTAGAGAGGAGCAACTCGACGGAGGCGGGAGCGACAAAGACGCAGGCGCCGCGCGGGCCGAGCGGGGCGGTGGGCGCGCGCGGGGCGGGGCTGCGCGCCATGCTGGCCGCGCACGACGAGCTGGCCGCCGCGCTGGCCGGCAACTCCGCGCTGTTAGCCACGCTCAACCACCTCACGCACCACCTGCAGCCCTAGCCACTACCGTCGCCGTCCGCCCCCGACCGGTACGTACCCACCGACGCCTAGATACACAAAGATAAACGATGCAACGTCGCATTCGAACTTTTTGGTTCAGTTGTTGTCGTTAAGTTACATTCGAATACCGCTTTGCGAATTGGAAGTTTCCGTTTTCACAGCAGCGCAAGTCGAAGCATAACCTCGTCGTGCGCGTCCACGATATCGACGAGCGCGAGCGAGTCGATAGACTTGACTCACTCGCTGAGCGTGACGGGCGACTCGGACGAGTCGGCGTCGATGGGGGCGGGCACGTCGCCGGAGTCGGGCGCTCGCACCGTCATCTACGAGTCGGCGGGCGCGTCGGAGCCCGCCGCCGGCCCGCCCGCCGCGCTCGACCCGCCGGCCCTCCGCTGCGGCGACGGGCGCCAGACCGCCGGGCACACGTCCTGTGCGGTCACGTGATGTGCTACCTACGGGGACTGTTCTGTTCGCAGTGTATACTAAGGGCAGTGAACCACGTATTATATAAGATACGTGTTTGACATAAATGATTGCCCAAACAGTTATTTTAAGTTCCTATTACTCGCTAAACTAAATAAGTATTAGCATCATAGTGACAGTGATTGTCGCAGTTATATAACTCGGATAATAGTTATCCATTTTTTGGGAAATAAAAATGGTTTGGAAACATTAGAATATCTTATTACAATAAAAGTCAGATAACAAAACATAGGCAAACTTTGATCTACAAATACTTACTATGTACTGTATGGTGGTTCGGTATTTACTATTCATTGACTCTCCACAATTAAGTTTAAATAAATCAGTAATAAAAAATTATTTAATACTTGTTAATAATAATCAAATAAACTACATTATTTCTAGGATAATCTTGTAATGTTATAACTTAATAAATTGTTGATATATCAGTATTGAAAACTCATAGGTTATTTGCCCAATCAAATGTTACTTCATAGTGACTGTAGTAAGTGTGGTACTATATGTTTTAACGATATTCCAACAGTAGGTACGCACAATTTCGTTAAATAAAACATACAGTAAAACACCAAGTAAACACAACAAGACTTTGTTGAAATAACCATTTTATATCTAATTCGCATTTTTTCGGGACTCTAAATTTGTGTTTTCTCCTAATTCAAAGAAATAATCTAAAATAGATGGTTACTATATATGCCGAATATTGCACTATTGGTGCACGATTTTAATAAAAAAAAAGAAATAAGGCCAGTAATACTGAAGTATGAGGATCTTATATTGTAAGCGCACCTACTTTGTAAGTGAAGAACAACATTCCTAGTATATTTGTATATATATATATGAAATAAATATAAGCTGCATCAACATATATAGTCAAAACCTAACCTAAACAGCAGGCAGGCTCGACCGGAGCGATTTCACGGCTTCACCAAAAAACCGGTGTTTTCGTTGCTTTTCACCGAGTGAGTGAGATTACTGGAGCCTAAACCGCTCTTTCCTTGATTGAGAGGGGGGGGGGGAGGGGAGAGAACCAAGAAAGAGGGGAAAGGGGAGAGATCAAAGAACAGCAACGCATTCTGCGACTCTTGAAGGTGTTTATGAGCGGCGGTAGTTACTTACATTCAGGTAATCCGTCTGCTCGTATACCATAAAAACGACAGATTTTCATTGTAAATGTCAAATGTTGATTCAAATTTGGAACGTTATGTAAATCATCATCTCACATAAATATGATTTAAAAAAATAAAAGCTGCGTTCCATACCCTTTTACAAAGAATATTAACACTTTAAACATAACATTTTGTTTTTTCTGATCGTATTGTCGAACGTAGACATCAATTTTAGAACGTTGTGGAAGCTTAAAAAATGTAGGCTTTACTTTATTTGGTGCAGTTTATGTAATAGATAGTAAAGTTAGGTAAGCTAAGATCTGGTGCTCTCTTAAATAGGATTAATGTGCAATAGTTTTACTTAAGCTGATATGCGTCATGTGATATAATATTTCCATTGTGAGCGATATTTATAACATGACAACAACATATTTAAGAGGTTTTTTATAGTCTTGTATAATAGCCAATTTTTTATTGTCATTTACCAAATGTGTACAAAGAAATCGTACTTAATTGTCAATATTATTGTCATAAATTATCAAAATATTACATGTCGTAATTCTTGCCTATAAAACAAAATTATTTGATTTCATACCCAAGCAATCTATTACGACATTTAAATGAATGTTGGACATATCATATAATTAAATTTAAAAGAGAATAAAACATAGATATGTTTTGTGTTACTGACGTTAGCGCAATAGCTAAGGCGTCGGGCTTGCGATCAAATGGTTGTGAGTTCTCGTGTGGGCAGAGTTTATATGTAGTATAAATATTAACTAATGAAAAAATATTTTCATTTTGTATAAACAGCCCAACTTTCTACTTTTTGTTTCTCCATCTATTTTTGGTAAGAAACTGATTAAATTATGAACTTAATCCTAAGAACAGCCATTGTCCATAATTTTTCATGTTATAAGAAAAATATATGCCATGTTTTGTTTTCAAAAAATACACAATGTTTATAGTAACTGTTATAATTATATATAGCAATAATGAAACATAAAGAGTTATTACTTCAATTGTAAATTAAACTATATTCTTTAAATTTGTTTTTTATTTTAATTAGAACTTAGTGGAATGTACAAATATTGCATCTTTGAAGGAAGGAAAGCTCAGCTACTGGTTGATATGGCTTGACATTTTGCTGCATGGTCGACAACACCACGTTATTAGCTTATGTGGTGATGGTATCTCCCTCACCTGTCTCCTGTCGTCAATAACATTTGTGGACCCCCCGCGCGTAGCTGAAATGTAAATGTTAAGATGGATGTGTGGTGTGACTAGGATGTACAAGGTGAGGGATTAATTCATTTGTGTGAAACATGAAAGTTGTGAAGCAACAGGTCCTGTCAGGGACATTTGGCACAGATAAGCAAAATGTATGAGGAGAAGGTTTTTATATATGGAAGTTGATGGATATAAGAGTAGAGGACGACTAAAGAAAAGGTGGATGGGCTGCGTGAAAGAGGATATGAGAAAGTGAATTGACGAGTGATAGAGGAGAATGGAAGACGAAAACTAAATCCCCCAAATAAATTGCGAAAAGGGTAAGAAGATTATGATGTAGACTACCCCCATTTCATTATCCAAATATTATTAAGAATGTTTTACTTATCACCTTAGACAAGTGAGCTCTTGTAAGTAGTCTACTTTTGATAGTTTCTAAAAAACAAAAGGACACAATCAACATAAAAATATTCAAGTAACTTGTACCTAATTAAATATCTACGATAATAATACATCTATTAGTTATTTCAATAAATATATAGATTTCCAGCAGAAAGTAAAATCATGAGTAGCTAATACCACAGTCAGCGATATTTTACTTTAAGTATCTCATTATAAATGAATAACATATAATACATGGGAGGTATGTCTTTCATACCTGTCTTCATAACTGTCTCTTTGTTCTTAAACTACGCGCTGTGCTGCTTAGATATATTTATAAGATAATCCGGTCGGAAATTTTATATTTAAACTTAAACATAAGGTTTTAAAACATTCCTTGTTCGAGAGATCACGTAAATAATGATATCTTACAACAAATATGAAAGCATAAACACAAATAAGGTATTAAATATACAATGGAAGTGTATGAAAAAAATTACATTTCAATAATTGCGCGAGCGTTATTAATATTAATTACTATGCGATATATATATTTTTTGTCGAGGGTTCGATTCCCACCCAGGACAAATAATTGTGTGATGAGCACGGTCATTTGTTCCGTGTCTGAGTGTAATTTATCTATCGTATGTATGTATTTAGAAATATATAAGTATGTTTATCAGCAGTCTGGTTACCATAGTACAGGCTCTGCCTAGTTTGGTACCAGACGGCCGCGTGTGAGATGTGTGAAAACATTATATTTTACTAAGACTATGTGATTTTTAAACTGACGGGCCATTTATCAAGTTGTATAGTCAGGAAATCATGTTGTGAGTTATACCTACGTTTAAGGAATACTCGTATCTGTAATATATCAATGATATTTGTAAAATAGTATTTAAAATGATAAACAGTTGTTTATCATTTTAAATACTTTGTGTTGATTTGAACCTGTGTAGCTTGTGGAAGCCGTTCAATATACCTTTTGTTTACATAGATATTATGTATGTATATGTAACAACAATAAAAAACTAATACATTTTGAGTATTATGAGAATTTTTAAAACAATTCCCTTTGACATCCAATATCGTGACGAATCTCAAAGCAATATCAGGGGTGTTTTGACTTAGTTGGTATGAGAATTTAAAAATACTAAGCAAATAAGTATTTGCAGTAGATGTTTGGGAAACGATTGAGAGGAAATTGGATGCAAGTTAACAGCTTAGTAGGTTAGCTTATATTTATATATATTTTATGTAACTTTAAACACAATAACAGATCACAAATATTCATAAAATTTTAAAAGCATAAAACTATATTAAGATAAAAACTTTCTTGAGAGGTATTTATTTCAATTAAAAATATACGGTTTTACTCGCATGGATGTCCATCACGTTGATATGTCAAGGTGTGGTGCATGAAACCATAGCGACAGAGCGCATCGCTCCTTGAAATAGAGTCCCTGTCAAGTCCGAAACCAGTCGGGACATCCCCGATAAACACACGTGAGTAAAACCGCATCTGCTTCTTAATAGATTATATATTTAAATAATATTTTTTTTGATTTTCTCGTCATCATATCAACATTAATTAATTCGTGTTAAACCTTTCGTATAAAAAGGTCTCGTTAACACTTGCACTAATTGAGTGTGGAGGTAGACATCGTCGGCTAAGAGTATCCCTTGTCTAACAGTTTGGAGCGACTCCTGTCCACCAGTTTGTACGCTCGGTGCGCCGCCTGGACGCGCTTGAAGTCTTCTAACAACTTGTCAAAGTCTATTGATGGTTTCTCGCCATCGTCTTGGGTCGATTTAGTCCTGAAAATTGTATTTTCTATATTTAAGTTTTCTGTATGTAAGTTATTTCTCTCCGTGTCACCACCCCTATTCATCCCGTGGGTAGGTAGGGAAGCAAACTACAGGACAACAGCACTGCAGAGAGAAGGAAATTTGAAACAAACCCTATGCCAACCCGTCTGGCCAGCGTGGTACAGTAGGCCAAAACCTCCTTTCTAAGAAGAGGCCAATGTTCAGCAATGGACTGTTAAAGGCTGTTGATGAGTGTGACTTTTGAAACAAAACCGTGGAAGAGTCATGTTTCGGCACAAATGGGTCACCTCAATTTAGAAAACCGTGTTAAGCAATTCTTTAGTTGTGTTTTACTGAGACAGATCTCCCCTGATTCTGGCGGACGGGACTCAAAAGGCGGGCATCACACTTGTGACCTTTAAGTTCAAGGTGTACATGGGGGTAGTCACTTACTAACAGGTAGCCCGCCTGCTAGTTTGCTCCTTATGGCATAAAAATGCACTATATACAAATTAATTCAAAAAGAATTGGGTGAGAATGCACACGAAATGATCATATGCGAGTATATATTAATCGTATGTCGGTACTTTAAAGCTTCTGTGGTAGAATAATAATTATGAGGTAATTAATTTGAACATTCGATCTACAAGGTGGTGGTTTCAGATGTCGTTCTATGCGGATCAGAAAGTAGACTTCAAAGAGAACTAACGAGAGTTGATTTGAGCATTTCAACTATGTACGGGTATATATATGTGTGTGTGGTGGTGATTAGGATTGACAAAATAAGTAATGATTACATAAGAGGGAGTCTAATAGTGTCTGTGGACGAAGAGAAAAGGTATGGTATGTAACTTAAAGGGGATCTGACTAGAGGAGGGCGGGGGTAGTGTATCTCACAGCGCGGGGTGTGCGGGCGCGCACTGCAGGCGGTTGCGCAGCAGGTGGAAGGCGTCGGTCTGCGGCAGCAGCATGAGCACGCCGTACAGCGCCCCGCGCAGAGCCGCCGCACCCTCGCTCTGTCCGCCCAGCAGCTCCAGCCGCATGTCTGCGCAACACATTAACTAATCATTCTTTTAAACTAACTTCAAAGGACTAAGTTATTGTTACGAGCTTGAAATCGTGATTAACATTGAAATATACACAAAATAATCACTTCATTGAAGTTACATTTAATCAACGGATGCCAGTGTTGAGCTTGTAAGACACATATTTGATGCCTGGAAGAATGCTCACGATTCCTTAGGTATCTTTTGCAATTTATCTAAAGCTTTTGATTGTGTTTGTCATGAAACGCTTATCAAGAAGTTACACCACTATGGTATCAAAATTAAAGCCCTCGAACTTCTTGCTTTATATTTAAGTAATAGGATTCAGAAAGTTAATATTAACGGTAAGCGGTCATTGGGTTCTGTGGTTAAAATGGGCGTTCCTCAAGGTTCTATTCTAGGCCCCTTTTTGTATTTAGTATATATTGACGAATTACCTCACCTTGTCAAGGACAATCACGAGATCGTGTTGTTTTGCAGATGTTACGTCACTGTTATTTAGACTAAAACGTACACTTACTTATTTCACAGTTTTCAGTTCTCACAATTCTTCAGTTCAATGCTAACAATTTGCTTCTAAATGAACAAAAAACTCAGTGTATACGGTTTGCCACGGACACCACTGTAAGAAAGAGAGGTGCTGGCACACAGTTTTTTTCTCTCTGTCTCTCATAGCCAAAAAGTTTTACTTCAGTCGTGTGGTCTAAAGCACACTCGTTCAAGGTTTACTTCACTATCAATTCTATTCCATCTTTTCTCTTTGTCTTTTTTTTCTCTTTTTTGCTTTTACTTTTTAGTACTTAACAACTGATATATGGATTAACTTAACTTTTCTAATCCTTTGACAAAACAGACTGTTGCTATTGTCTACGACGATTTCAAACAAGTTTTCGGAACAAACGAATCGCGGCGAGTAAAAGTTCATGAACCTTCCCTAAAAATATGTTTTTACCTGACTCAACATTCTACTAGAGACCTTTAGAACATCGTGGAACATTCTAAAATATTTGAACATTCAATAATTTCACAAGTCTCAACAGATGGCTACGTAACATTATTTTATATATGAAGCCTGCAACGCTTTGTAGGAATACAATAAGATTGATCCCTGAAACCATATCCGATAACGTCATTGCTAATATCCGTAAAACTAAATTTTATCAGTTTTCATAGCACTCGTTACGATTAATATTCTAATATTTTAAGAAATAAATGTTATAAGCTATTATTTACTAAACATTATTATTTTCTAGCCTGACGATGCTCACCAGCGAAATGTATGGCGTCGCATGATAGGGAATAACGGGAATGGGCGAGGGCAAAGAAGCAGATTATTTTCTAGCCTTATCGATAATATACTCACATGCAAATATAGGAGACTCGATGAGTTGTACCAGTTTATCTACTTCGGTTAGAAAGTCCACAGTTATTTCTAAATCACCACTGTTCTTGTGTAAAGGACCATATTTTTCTAAAATTAATAACATTGTTGTGCACAATACATATTTAAATTACTTTTACAGGGATTTTTGTTATGAGTGAAGTCAGTTGCATAAGTTGCTTGGCAGCGACTTCACAACGGTGCAATGAACAGTTAAAAACTACTGATATCATTCTTGAAATTCTCAACCGAATCAAGCCTCATGAGACAGGAAAAGTTATTTTTTAATGTTAGAGGGGGAGTCGAGCAGACTGGTCGGGTCACCTGATGGAAAGTGACCATCGCCGCCCATGAACGTTTGTAACTAAGGAGTCACAAACGCGTTGCTGTCCTTTTAGGAAAGAGTACGCTCTTTTCTTGAAGGTTGAAGGTCGTATAATTTTTATTACACAATTAGTTACTTTATTTATTTTAAAGAAGCTATTGAGGATTTGGTTATTGTATAATAAAGGTATTTGTAAAGGGATACAATGTTGAGATGAGCGCGTTGCAGTGTGAGTAGTTGTGCGTGAGCAGGCACAGCGCCAGCAGCGACACGGGGCTGTGGCACCAGCACTGGTACAGCGACACGAACAGCGAGTGCGTAGCCTGCAACACACACACATACCGACAATACTGTTATATCACAACTGTTCCTTTTGAACAAAAACTTATCAACTTCACTTGTAACAACCATATAAAGTTACTTCTTATTTGTCGTGTTGAAATGAAACTTTATATGTGAATGCAGCTTGGATAATAATACTATAATTAGGCATCTTGGAGCTAATCTGGTGATCGATTCAGAAGGAACATATTAGAACTCTTTAATGGATACTGGTTCACCCCAAGAACTAGCGCACATCAAAAGCCTTTAACAGTCCACTGCTGGACACAAGCCTCTCCTTGGAAAGGAGATTTTGGCCTACTATACCACGCTGGCCAGACGGGTTGGTATAGGGTTTGTGTCAAGTTTTCCTTCTCTCTGACACTCTGTATTCTTAATCCGTCACCACACGGATAGAACTAGCGCAATTTTCAGTATTTAGCATATATATCTTTTATACGAGTCTAACATATTGGTCTCGTTAAAGATGGTCTGATAAGAAAGCCTGAGGAAGTGTAGAGCAGAACTTTTATTTCGGATCGCCATCAAATTATAATTTACTTGTGAACCGACAAATTCCACATCAGGAGTTACTCACAGGTCACTGGGACTTTCCAAACATACAAACAACGGACACGACGAAAACCTATTTTACGGGGCACACATATATTTGTCCCGATTACGATTATATTACGTGGGAATCGAACGAGTTAACTCTTGCGCCGTACAAACTCTTAAAATATGTAGTATGCCAACTGACCGGCTTGTTAAAGTTCCGCAGCTGCAGCCTGAGGTCGTACAGCTCCGCCGACGTGAGCAGGATGGTGTTCAGCACGTCCACCATGGTCGCCACGAAGCGGAGGTTCTTCTCCTCCAACAAGATCTTGGATAGAGCCTTGTATATGTCCTCTGCGTTTAACAAGATGCATAGCTGCCTACACAACAACTTAACCGTAAGTGCCTTATGAATTCGACAAATTGATTCAAATGAAATAAAAAAAACAAACAAATTTCAAAAACGTCCATTGTTTTTTTTCATCTATAAAATTTAAAATGTAGACCCTTTATACACACATACAAAATCACTGAAACAAAAAGTCAAATGTAAGTTTTAAATAAAAGTATAGATAACTAGGATTATGCCCCCTCAAAAAAAAAAAACAATTGGTTTATAAACCACGGAATTCTAAGGTAACAGACATGAAAAACAAATACAATCGTACCTTCTCCTTTCTTTGAAGTCGGTTAAATAGTACTTAAACCGTCCCATGCTCACCTTATAATGAAAGCCCCTCGATCTTCCAATAAGTTCTCATCGGCTGCCAATAACCTCAATAGGTTTTGTAGGAACTTGTAGTAATACGGGCTCGACTCTAAGTCACCTGGGAAACATGTGTTATTGTATTGTTAACGATTCAATAAAGCGATAGGAGTTTTAACAGATGTTAAAACTCGACACAATTCTTTTACTATTATAGAGGCACAGTAAAGAATATTATTTGAATCGAATCAACTATAATAGGGTCAAGCTTATTGCCATTAATCGAGCTCTTTAGGTATAGGGTGGGAAAATTAGGAGTACTTTGAAATGAAAGACAGATAAGAAGGGAAAGAAAAGGTGGGGCGGGTTATTGTTTATACGGGTATCCTGGGAGTTTAAGGATCTATATGTGTTATGAACAGTCTGCTCATCATATCCTCTGGGAATGTAGTCTTTGGTATAATGAACGTAACATAATGCTGAATAGCTTGCAGGTGACATCTGGGGCGGTATACTATGGGGATCTTGTGTCAACTAGGGTGAATTTCCGTGCGTTTAGGCGATTCTGCCATACGTATTATAGAAATCAAATATAGCTCATGTAGGACCCGTAATATTTTGTGGCCGTGGTGCTTCCCTGTTTAAAAGGGTGTATGCCTATTTTACTTCATTTTGTCTCCCGCTTTGCTAAAGAGGGAAGTGGATTTACTGTATTTCCAACTCCTCCAATTATCTTCTGATTAATTTCGTTGCGGGTTCCAAGACAGTTTAATTTCTTCCTGGGACTTCCCGACTGTCATAACTCGGTGTGTTCGTGGGTCACTGCTGTGGATCCTGGTGTACAGGAGTTACAGTGGTGGGCGTGTGGGTGGGATTAGTCCCATCTATTTGTGTCTCCACGAATAGGATAGCATAGCCAATGTTCGAACGACAAAAAAGTACAACATTAATTTCTTATGTATTTGTGCTACGACAGAAAATTAGCTAACAATATAAATTAAATCGGATAATTTAGTGATATTGAATGAATCAGTTGAGTATATTTTAGTAATAAAATCGAGTTGATATTCGAGATTTGAGATTTATGACAACTTTTTTTTAGTTGAACAATGCGAGTAGTACCTTGGTGCGCGTCGGCGTGCGGCGAGCAGGAGCAGATCTCGGCGAGCACGGCCAGCGAGCGCCGCACCACGTCGTCCGACCCGTCCGTCAAGCTGCCCACCACGCTCACGAACAGCTTGTCCGTCTCCTCGAACATCTGCATATATACCCCCACTTTAAACCTCCACTTCCAATTTTGACTACTTGTACCTAATGTAAAAACTATTTTCTTGACTATTCTTTCATGTAAAATTTTAAAACAGGTTTAGTGAGTTTACGACAAACCTTTTTTTTATAGTATAAGAGGGCACAGAACCGAACAGACGGCCTACCTGATGGTAAGTGACTACCTTCGCCCACGGACACCTGAGTTACAAGTGCGTTGCCCCCTATGAGTTAAGAATGAGGAGGAGGGGAAGTTTAACTTGTAACAATTTATAAATAAATAAATATAAGTATTTGGTGTTACTAAATTATTTTTATGTCTAAAATAAGCAAGTACCTTTTTACATAGTTGTGATGATGACATTAAAGCCAAATCATTAAATATTGTTATTCCAGATCGTTAGACTGATAGTTGAATAGTTAAACTGGGTATAAAGTTTCTGTTTATTCGTATGACTCGACGCCGTGCTGTGTAATCAACATATCGCAGTGTACCTACGTCTGTTCTGGTAGCTTTTCATTACTATTTGAATATTTTATTTATTTTTTTATTTATATACATCAACATATGTTAATGTATGTTAGACGCTGTGAGTTTTAGTACTAATATAGAATCACCTTTTAAAATAAAATAAAGCATTTCGGTTGCATTGATCACATTTTGAAAGAAACCAACTGCGTTTCTTTAATTATCAAATACGAACCAAACGTTTATTCGTAATGGTTAATAATTTCACATCGTCGAAAACGCATCCAATTTAGTAAAGTTTCCGAGCTAGATCGGAACTAGTTCAGAAGCTTTTAACAAAGATTTTAGTTAAAAATTAAAAAACCGAAGTAATAGTCCGTGTGGTGACGGATTAAGAATACAAATTGTTCCACCCCAATTCATCCCGTGGGTGTCGTAAGAGCCGACTAAGGGAGCAAACTAAGCAGGACAACAGCACTGCAAAGAGAAGGAAAACTTGAAACAAACCCTATACCAACCCATCTGGCCAGCGTGGTATAGTAGGCCAAAACCTCCTTTCTAAGGAGAGGTCTATGTCCAGCAGTGGACTAGTATAGGCTGTTGAAGTGTGTGAGATGTGAATATTAAAAGTAACTTACTTACTATAAGTTATTCTTTAAAACACCGTTTTACCGTGGGAGAGCCATGCTTCGGCACAAATGGGCCAGCTCGACCGGAGTGATACCACGTGCTCACAGAAAACCGGTGTTAAGCAATTCTTCCGTTGCCTTTCACTGAGTGAGAGAGGTTAGCGGAGCCCAAATTTCCGCTGACTCCAGCGGGAGGGACTCCAAGGGAGGCAACGCACTTGTGACTTTTGAGTTGCAGGTGTCCTTGGGCAGCGGTAGTTGCTTACCATCAGGTGACCCGTCTGCTCGTTGGCCCCTTACACCATAAAACAAAAACCTCTAATCCAATCATATAAAAAATCACAAAGTAGATAAGGACATGTCTACGAATATTAAACAACCGATACCCACAAGGGAAGTTCTGAATAAAATAATTAGTTATTACCTCACTAGGTAGCTTGTTATACAAGTGCAATATCCAATCTAAGGCCGCAACTTTAGTGTGCACAGACCCATGGTGCAGCATCTGCCTCAACACCGCCACTACAGAGTCCAAATTAAGTCGCTTATCGCTCTCCGCGGGCTCCTCGCCTTCGCCTTCTTTAGGAGGGGAGGCGTCTGATGAAGACACTACCAGCTTCGTGAGCTGGAAGTTCACTGTGGCTGCTGTCTCACGAATACCTGATTACCTTATAAGGAGGTTATTGTATTGTTTGTTCGTTGATGTAAATTGATAAATTGATTCAAGAAATCCAAAGCTTATCTTATCTTTAAATAGGTATATAAGGAATAATAACGTCGAGAAAAAGAAAAACGGTTGAATTGGTTCCTTTACTACAGAAAATCTTCTCAACTAATGCTATATATATATGCCTAAGGCCCCATTGTACCCCAGAACCCTCCTTCCCATCTTCGATCATCAACATCATCAACAGCCTATACTAGTCCACTGCTGGACATAGGCCTCTTCTTAGAAAGGAGGTTTTGGCCTAATATACCACGCTGGCCAGACGGGTTGGTATAGGGTTTGTTTTAAGTTTTCCTTCTCTTCTTCGATACCAGCTTTCAATTTCAAAAATATTAAACTCATCATCTACTAAATATCATCATATTTTTTTAATAATAATAATATTTTTGAACATCTGACACACAACGCCATCTAGTTTCAAACTAAGCAGAGCTTACACTATGATGAGTTAGATTGACTTATAGAATACTTTTATACTTTTTTTTTTGTAAATACATACATCATCATCCTCTATTCCCAAGTTATTTGAGATCTCGCGGAATGGTTTATTTTATGGTCGGCCGCCTGCGTTAATCCAAACCTCCTTGGAAGTCTAATAGTTTTTAAAGGAGACATCGCAATAAGATAAATTCAGGTAAGGGTTTGTAAACCAAAAATGAATGAAACCCATTTTTAAAGGATACTCTTCCGAGGCTCATCATGATACGCGAGGCAAGGTAACACGGCGCACAAAACGCCCGACGCGTACGGCAACATGCTGGCCCCCGCCAGTTCTACAAACTCTTTGATCCACGTTATAGCTGTCAACTGTCAACAATTATTTACTTTTATTGACTTCTTATTTAGTATCGAATTGGTTAAAGTACAATATATGCAAAATAGTACGATAGTTCGCCACCTGCCAGATGAAAATCGACAAATTAAAAAAGGAAGGCCTGTGAAAGACCGCTTGTGGAACTTTAAATTCATACATTTTTAATGTCCTTTGGCAACCTGTGTTCACTGACGTGGAGCAATAAATTGGCAAAAATACTTGCACCTGATTTTTAAGTTTTTGTTACTAACTTTACCTGCATCAATTCCTCAGGCGACTGCGCATGCGTAATGAGAATGTTGATCATCGCCTGGAAGTCCACCCTCGACGGATCCTTCTTTATACTCCTTAGAAATTCGTTCAACTGAACGTCACACCTATAATCAAAGTACGTCACATAAATCGAAGTCAATGTCAAAATATTAAAAGCAAAATCAAGTAATATCTTACATTCTTCTGATTTCTGAGTTGGTGTCGTCCAACATTTTGAAAAGACCGTCGAGAAGCTCCGGTAGGTGGACGATGAGGTCTATATCAGGCACGGCGTCCAACACGGACACCCACGACACAATAAACTGTCGCGCAAACGCGTTGCGCGTATAGATGCGTTCGCGCAACATCGGGATGAACGACGCCAACTCGAACGTTTGCGACTCCGTCACTATGTCCTGGAGATTGAGTTTTAAATGTCAGGAACTATATAGTTACACCTACATTCTTAAATTTACTGCGGTCCGCTTGTAAAGAAATCAGTAATAAAACCGAGTACGCGGTCACAGTTGATCAAACATAATATGCAAATACGTAGTGTGAGCGTGTTGGGTTGTCTTTGAATAATTTCTGTTATCTACTTCGCATTCAGTTGATTTTTGGGGACCCTCACTGCAATTTACTTTATTTTTTCTCATTCGTATTTTCCTGGTAAATCTGTTCTTTTACCGCAGTACTCCGACCTTGAAGTTAGTATAGCAGTTAAGATAAAGAGGCCTATGAGGACATAGGCCTCTTTATCTTAACGTATCATCTTAGTTCCGTTTTCACATTTACACTTACATTACACATCTTAGTCACTAAGAGGACTTAGTCAGGAAAAATAACGTTAATTTATTTGAAATTATGGAAATACAAAGTTAAGGCTGTGGCTTTTACGGTAGTAAATGTGAAAACGGAACCTGCGAACATTGTATTCCGAATGCTAGTAACACCAGACAGATGGGTACTTTTATCATAGATGTGATCGCTGGTACAATGACACACTATTTTTATGTCAATATGGATGAACTAAGTATTGGATATTTATACATACAGCAGCCTCGGATCTACGACTTTTCGAGCCGGGCAGAAACTACATTATAACGCCGTCTCTCTCCAGCGTTTGGAATAAATTACTTAAAAAATTAAAAATATATGGTTGGCATTTTTCATTATTGGGACATGGCAATAATATATTGGTTCTTAAAAGAACCCTTTTATAAATTTTCACTCTTCAATATCTTTCACTCAATACGTCGAAAAAACGTGCGCTGCATGCTAGGCGATTTGATGAACGAGTTTTATTTTTATTTAAAACCGTTTTATTTTGTTGCGCCATAGGATTGAGTGGTTCCTGTGTTGTGTCACGAGGACAGCGCCATCTAGTATCAAGTCGGGCACAACGCTGCGCATTGAGATTACGGTTCTTAATTCCGATACTTGCTTGCTTGATTTTAATTTTTGCGTCCCCTGAAACAGGCGCCCGGGGCGGGTGCCCGGTTGCCCCCCCCCCCCCTCCCCCCATTCATCCGGGGCTGAAATACAATATGTTTTAAAAGTAAACCTTTAATGAATAAGCTGTTGATAAACTGATCCCAACTGATTTTGATGCGACGAACGAATAGTTACCAAAAAACGTGTTGCAATGTCACGTTCAGGAAACATCAATTCTTTCGTAATATGCAGAACCAAGTACAAACCATAATATATTTATTATTTTCTCAAACTATTTGTTTTGCGAGGACATCGAGGCAAGGGTAATGCGATACACGCACACACACACAAGTCATTCGACAATGCACAAATTACAGATAGCGAAAAGCGTCGCAGACGTCACCGATAAACAAAATTGTATGTTTTATTGCAGCAATTCTCGCCATGAATAATATAATCAATGTTGTACATACTATCAAAAAAGCGAAGTTAATTAAATGATTACATTGAAGAAGGCTACATTTTCTATTTACGAAACAGCTCTACATGGCATTTAGATAAATTATTGCAGACTTATAAATACTATATTAAAAACATATTTTTAATCATATTGAAGCTTTCAATGTTGATATTTATTTAGGTGTTTGATAGTGCGTCTCATCCTCGCTGACCCTATACTCGAAACTGTTATGAATTATCATATTTTGAATTTATGAATCTTTTCGGAAGAAGTCTGGAAAAAGGTAGAAGCGAATAGTTTTTTTTTCTTTATGGTAATAGGCGGCAAAACGAGTGGAAGGACCACCGTAAGTGTCTACTGTCGCCTTTTTTTTTTAAGTTAGTGATACCTTGACTAGTCTATCCAGTAGTTCAGCTCCCTGCTTGACCTGCTGCTCTGGGTCAGCCGCCAGGCGCGCCAGCGCGTCGAACACGAGCGGGAAGTGCGCGAGGGCGGCGCCACGCGCTATCTTGAGCACGTTGAACAACGCTTCAGCCGCCTGGTACCTCACACGAGACTCACTCTCGCTGAAGCAAGCCACGATCGGGTGTATCAGCTCGGGCAGATACTCTATGCAGCCCTGATAGAAGAAAATTAATTAACATGTGTTCAGCCACAGCCCGTTCATGTAAATGTATGGAAAGCTTAGACATATTTGATGGGCCTGTTGGTCTAGTGTTTAGAGACCCTGACTGATAAGCCAGAGGTTGTGGGTTTGATTCCCACCCAGAACAAATAATTTTGTGATGAGCAAGATCATTTGTTCTGTGTCTGGCTGTAATTTATCTATATTATTTTTGTTACTTTTTTAATGGGCTCATTTATGGCATCAGGTGTCGTTTGACAACGGTAATTAAAACATTGTGTTCACAATCATTGCAGAATGTTTTAATTAGGATGGTTTATCTTATCACCCAAAAGAATAAATCACTGGAGTAGACATTTGCAAGGTCTTAACAATAATATAACAGGTGTTTAATTACTTTAATTAAAGAGTAGCATCCTTTGTATCCTTTTCTAACCAAATTTTGAGGACAGAAAATTGAGAAATTTAGAACATCTAAGTGCAGAGAACTACAAATCTAAGAAGAGCTGATCCAATAATATATGTTGACATGACATGGTACAGAGTGTCTATACAATGACAGTTGATTCTTTTCTATTTACGTGAAACAATAATAAAAGCAATCAAATTAAACCAATTTAAAAGTCAGTTGTGCGACCTGTCATTTATGCGACTTTATAATAAACATATTATTACAAAGTTACATACATGAGTTGTTTAAAAAATGATAATCTCCATAATGAATTTTAACAATAAAGGCAGTGTTATAATCATTTCCTGTATATTGTCCTGTACTAAGTGTACGGAATTGCAAATAAATAAAAAGCTCCTCATATCATATTTAACTAGACACTTATTATTGATACATATAATTAAGATCATATAATTTATAGTAACTATTATTGTTTTTAACAAGAATACAATCTAAACATAAATATATATTTATAAAGGTAATTCAGATGGATTCTCTAATCTGAATAAAGCCATTGTAAGCACTGGAAGGAAGAAATTGAGAAAGGTACCTGATGCAGGTCAAAGCCGCTACTGACCTTCCCTAAACCAACAGCCACTGAGGATAATCCCATGAGAGCTCCATTTTTAACATTAGGATTTGTTGAGGACATCAGATCTTGACCGAGAACTCTAATTAGTCGCTTAATTTGACTCGTGTTCTTTGCATCGTTGAAATCTTTTACCATTCTGCAAATAATTAAAAATATGATATGCACATTACCATGAAATGGTAACTTATGGGAATAGTGAAGTAGCGAACTAGGAGAGCCTCGTAATATTAAAAAATATACAGGTGGAACTGGTAATGACAAAATATGGAGTAGAAATATAGAAACAATAGACAAATTTAAATAAAAACTTAAGCATTACTTTTCAATTTCGACGCCAGCAAATTTACGTTTGTCATATATTTTGTCGCAAAGCCCGTGCACGCAGGCTAAACTTAGTGGCGCGTAATCTCTCTGAGACATTATTATTCAATGTTTATGACCATAAAATAAAACTATACATCTATTAACACCAAAACACATCAATGCATCAATGATTCTGAAACTGATTTTATGTGAGAAACGTAGCAACAAGAACTATATTTGTAGCATAAAATTGTCGTTCTTTTCATTCCGTTCTTAGAAAAAGAAAGTGATGCAACTACTCTGATGTGCAGTACAGTACTGTTTACTGTTTTTGACGTTTTATTCGCAGCTGTTAAATGTCACGTACGACATTCACCTGCTCGCCCAAAAATTAGAAAGAAACACACATCAAAACAGCAAATTAAGAAAAATTGATTAAACACATTTGAAGTAAAGAAATTAATAGTAAAAGAAAATTTTCAGTAAAATATACAAAAATTAAGTTAGATCTTTTAAATGTTTAAATATATTTACAGCTAAAGATTTCTCTATTGCCTCTTTCTGAACGAGTGAAAATAAGTAATACCAGACTAAATTTAAGAACTCCCAAACATTTTATTACATTGAAATAAAATATAATTATTTACGAGTAGCACACTGAGACAATCTACAACTTTTTCAAAATTAGTGTTTGGGGTACATTTTTCTAGTATATTTTCTACACCAATTTTAACATAATAATAATTAATGTTCTAGTCTATAAAAATAAATGACAATAATTCTATTTCATTTATTTTACTAGGTAAATTTTTACACTTAATTTGGTAAACTTAAACTATACCAAACTGGTAACCCTTGTTGTGTTATAGTGCACTGTGTTGAATTGTGTTTGTGTCTGCTTATTTTGATTTTAACTATGCTGTAAAACAGTCAAATGTCATTAAGCTCTAAATTGTTGTTTATTGTAAGTGTTTATTTACCGCGCTAGAATAAAGTATTGAGTTCGTTATGCCTGTGACATTAGTAGACAGGTTGCCCTTGCCGAATCTCAAGGTTTACACCGCGGGAAGTGTTTCTTTGCTTTCAATAGCCATTTATTACGCTCTGAGTGCAACTAGTGATCCGAACTGGCGGGTGAACGTGACACAGGGTCGGCAAGAAGGTATGGCGGAGCCGGGAGATCTCGAGGCGCAGCTGGTGATGACTTCACCGCCGGTTGTCGCTGGGAACGGCACCAGGAACATCTCGGATCAGTTCGTAGATGTAATGACTTTTATGATGCAGGAGCCACTCTGCGTGTGGGTGAGTATCTTTATCTAGCTTTTAGTTGTGCCTAAACTTACTTTTACTGTTTTCCAAGACTACGTTTTTGCTACAATCTATGAACCATTAACAAATATCGTATAAACTCTTTTACATACATTCTGGTTTTAATTGTTTTTTTTTTGTTATCTGTGATAACAGAGAAAAATAAATATTTGTAGTTTCAATCATAAAGAATATTATACTCTGCTTTGATAAAATCTTTGCCAGAGTCCTTGAAATCAAATTTACAATTATAAATATATTATATGTCAGAATAGTCTAATTTTAAAAGTAATGAAAAATAATATAGTATATTACTATTACAAGAAAAAAAAAGTTTAACTTTTCCATAGACATTCCAGTTATCATATATCAATATAGATCATATAAATTTACTAAAGAAAAAAAACATGATGTTGATTAATAATATTGAACTCACAGTTTATATTTAAAGAATTTAAATAGATTGTACACCACCATTTCTATAAGTTTAACACAAACATAGTACACTTTTAGTATAATGTAATAACCCTACCTAAAAATGGTAGAAGTTAAGTTACTCCACATTAGTGGTTAGGGCTGAATTAAGAATTTCAGTGCTATTTACTGTTGTACTAATAATGGAAGATGTTAAAATATGAGTATGTAGTAACATAGTACATGTACCATAGTACAGTCTCTGCCTAATTCGGCCTAATTTAGGCCAGGGATTCCCAAACTATTTTGGGCAAGAGACCCCCTTTTCCAAAATGAACTGAAACCTCAGATCCCTATAGCTAAATTACTTAAAAAATCCTATCTCTAGTTTTTTCCTATTGATACAAAATACTTGCCGTTGGTTTAAAAAAATTAGACAAATTAGTCAATTTTAAAACAAGTTGGTACATGTAACACAAGTTGTACAGTATCTTGAAAGTTTCAAATAAGAACTTGTGTTCATTAATAGAGGTTGATTTTTGGATCTCATCAACCCCCAAAATCGGTTTTTGTTTATGTCGACCCTTGGGAAACCGGCTTCGACCCCAAGGGGTTGATATCCACGACTTTTAAATCCCTGACCTAGGCTATTATTATTTTAAAATAGAAACCCTACAATATTTACTAATATGTACCATGAACAAGACTGTGGTTGTCTGTGGACTTATTAGTATATCATTATTATTTATTGAAACCAACAAACATGATAAATATACACTAATTTATGTTAATTAAATAGACATTGTGGTCAGTAGAGCATCTGAAAGAAATGAGTTTATAGCTCAAGTTAAAAATAAACCTATTTAATTTATGGTTCATGTGAGACTTGCACCAACATTATAAGTGCACTCTTTATCTTAAAGCTAGCACATTCATTATATTATTTTTTAATTGTTAAGTAATCTTTTGTTTGCAAAATAAAGTAACTATGAAGATTTTAATGGAATTTAATTATACTTATATAGTCAGACAATGAATTAATTTTCTAAGTGTTATGCATAACACTTACTATATATATATATTAACACTTACCATCTCTTTAGAAGGTTTTTATTTAATATAATAATATGTTTGTCATAAATACTAAAATAACTTAAAAAAGTAAGTACATACCTATTTACGATACCAACACATTCCCCCTTATTAGTGAAAGGTTGCAGAAGTTTTACTTGAGTTTTAATAGATGAATGAATGAATTTTAATAAATTGAGTCCATAGATGTTGTTAGTTTTTTAAACAAATTAAATTCTTAAATGTGTTTACTAGGTTTTAGTTTGGAAACTGTAGTTTTTCTTACAATGAATCTGGGACTTCTGTTGTGGTAAAACCATAACCAAATGATTGGTCATTTGTGGGTTTGTGAGATGAATGTGGATATTTCTTTAAAAGTAGTACTAGTAGTCTCTTGCTCACAAGGGGCTCCTTTTGCATCACAAATGTGTTTGTTACGAGCTCAACCTCTCATCTATTTTTATATAAATCTTGTGGAGTCAGTGGTTGACAAACCCCAGGGCCTCAATTCTGCTATTTTATGTTCACGCGGAGCCACTGTCATACCACTGTGTACCACATCGAGGGGCCATTTGCATCGATATAAATATCGGTAGTCTACACTAACTAAACAATAACAAAAACAGCAAGGATAATTCTATTAATTACGGTGTATTATGTCGTTGTAGTGGGTCCATAGTAGGGTCCGTGTGGTGACGGATTAAGAATACAGAGTGTCACCACCCCTATTCATCCCGTGGGTGTCGTAAGAGCCGACTAAGGGAAAAAAAAACCTAACCTTGGTCTTTCTGCTTATGGGAAGGTGAAATGCTAGTTGCTCTCCAATTTTGTGGAACAATTGTTATCTTGGGAACGTTGAACTGTAAAAAGTCAAAGATAAACTGTTCATGACTGTATGGTACCTATGGTGGAAATATACCAGATATAACTTGTTGTGAAAATACAAGGAAATAAGCAACAAATTTGCATTCCGTCACAAATGGCTGCGTAGAAGTACTTATAAAAATAATATGGACCTGATACACGATATTTAAACTGCGATAAGGCGAGTGATAATAATGCGTGCCGTCTAGACTAGATAGTTTATTTTATTTTTATAATCAGATGTGGAAAAGACGCCAAGATATAAGGACAATGGTCTAATTAGGCTGTTACCCTCTTATCGTTTAGCTAATAGTGTGCTTGTTAGCCAATTTATATTAAAAAAAAAACAAATGTCATAAAGCGCGCGGGAATTTTTTAACGACAAAGTAACAACTTTGAATATTCGATTATCGAAATACGCGAGCTCTCGGCCCAGAGTGAAAGTAAATATTCAGGTTTTGCGATAAACCTGATGTGTTATATGCTTGCAGTGCTAAAAATAAACAGTGATGGAATAAGAAAGTTTTTAAATTAATGAAGAAAACAAGGCATTTGATATCCTAACTATGAATAGAGATTGATCCGCAGCTGAGCGCGTGGCTGACGTGGGCGGTTGATATTTTTATACAAGACTATAGCAATACCGACGCCAGAAGGCCAATTCTTGTAATAAAAAAAAAACAGTCTCAATTAAGTTCCGATCAACCTTCGATCTCACAACTGTCATAAAAGGTACTTTCGTAGTAAAATAGTAAAGTATTACTAACACTATCAGTTTATTGATTCAATTTTCGATTACAATACGATATAATCACATCACAGTCAACGTTGGATGTTTAATACTTAACTACGAAAATAACTTTTATGATAATTGCGAGATCGAAAGTTGATCGGAACTGAATTGAGACCGAACTTCTGTTACGAGAATTTTCCTTCAGATCTACATTTCACACAAAGACATCCTTGTATACACTTTTGGCACGCACGCACCTCTTCAAAATATCGGGCTTGATTTTTGCTGAAATTACAATAATAATTTCAGGTCCTCCCCCGAATTGACGCCGCGCCTAACAAGCCCCTATTCAGGCTGTACATTTCGTTGCCTAGGCTTTTGGTTTCTCATCTATCTGACACGTTTATAGATGCCTGATTACTGCGTGCTAATATTAAAAAATTAGGGAAAATTTGCTCCAACCTATAATTGCAGGGCCTGGAAGCAACAACTTAATTTTAAAACTATTGTCAAACCTTCAAAATGTTTTCGTTATAATATAAAGTTGTATTATTAAGTAATTTACTAATATAATGTGTAAAACTATTTATTTAAACACCATGATCACCTTTTTTTTTTTTTTTTTTTTTTTTTTTTTTTTTTTTTCCGTGCGGAAATCCCCTCGGATACCACCTGTCGGTGGCATGTCGGACTCGAACCGACTAAAACCGCACGCCTTCGCCGGGTACTAATTGCCGGGGAACCAGGTATACCCTAGAAAGGAAGGCCCTGGTGCCCCGACATACCTCGGGTCATCTACAGACGAGTAGACGACCCCCGCCCCGTGTGGGAACCCCATGTTCCCTGTGCTCCCTGGAAGCGAGCGCGCTTCGCAACGCGCTCGCCGCCACCCCGGCCTGCTTCTGCTAGGGTGACAGATGGCCTCACCTGTCACCCCCAGGCCTGCGCTTATGGAGGACGGAGGTCGTTCTGCGACCTCCGGCGCCTGAGTCGCCTGCGCTGCCTGGCCCGTGCCCGGGCCTGGCGGGCCGGGAGAGTTCTAAACCTCTCCCGGTCCCGCTCCGCCGTCTCCTTCGCGAGCATAACTTGCTCGCAGAAGGAGACGGCAGAGTTCCACGCACTCTCGCTCCGCACGATAGCCGCAATCAGGCTATCGAGCGAGAGAACTCCCACTCCGATGGCCGCCACGAGGTCTCGCCTCTGCTCAACCCACGCCGGGCACTCTGCCAGCGTGTGGAGAGCCGTGTCCACGGTCTGGCCATCGCAGTGGTGGCACTCAGGCGTTGGCTCCTTGCGGATCAGACACAGGTGATCTCCGAAACATCCCTTCCCAGTGATCACCTGCGTCAATCGGTATGAGAGGGTCCCGTGACGCCTCTCGAGCCAATCCTCCATAACGGGTCTTACCGCCGCAATGACGGCGTGCCCGGCGCTCGGTTGCCCGAGTCGTTCCCTCCACTCCCCTATGGTGACCTGGCGGAGTTGGGATTTCCGGTCATCGATTTCTCGAATCTCGGGGTATCGACCCAACTCCTGCGCCTCCTTGCGCCACTGATACAGTGCTGCAAGGGCTCTCGCCTCCAGGTCCCACGGTGGAGTTCCGGCCAGGAGACTCGCCGCCTCGAAGGAGATCGTGCGGTACCCCCTTATGATCCTGATGGCCAGCATTCGCTGCGGTCGCCGCAGTATCGCGACGTTGCTGGCCTTCAGGGCCCCCGCCCATACTGGGCACCCGTAAAGGGCCATGGACCGCACAACCCCCGAGTAGAGTCTCCGGCAGGAGTCATCGGGTCCCTTCATGTTGGGCAGCAGCCGCGCCAACGCACGCGCTGCCCCGACCAACTACACCATGATCACCTGAAATTACATTCATAATAGTCAAGTCACAAAACCAGAAACAATTTATTGGCTT